TGGTAGGTACGTGAAATAGGATAATGCACACGTGAGAGTATATTAAAGTGCCTCCCCACGAGAAAAAAAGACGACAGCCTTGCTTTAAACACTTAGCATGCAACGTTCGCTCGAACCAAGCCATTTCTTAAATTCAACGCAAAATCCGGGTTAAGAAGAGCATTGTCCTAAAAATTGTCATTCACGCGTTAAATCCTGTGTAAAAGAGATAATCATATGTGTCTTGGCTTCGTTACACTCGTAAATGAGGGAACGTGGAGTACAGTCCACAAGGCGTCGTGCACATTATACGATTTTTATCATTATATAAGGAGCGCTTGAAGAGTCCCGTAAATTCTGAATACACCTTGTAAAAATGTGTTAAATTTAACATTTTGTCGTCGGCTCAATTTTCCAGAGGAATGCTGCCTCGGGGAGACTCGTCCACTCGAGGATCGCCGCGGGTAACGCGTCCACATTATCCGGTGCCTTTGATCTTTACCGATGCTCGTTGGAAACCGAAATCATGCCGGCAGTCTAACCCATCTACAGTGAAACCACGACCATGGACAATGGATTATTTTCGTTAACGAAAACCCGTCATGATATTTTCATCGATCTGCTATTTTTTTTCTCAAAAAGTACTGCATATAATGGCACAAATTTTTTTTCTTTTTAGTAAAAAATACATGTTTATTTATTTATTTATTACAAACGCAGAGTAGTAAAGAAAAAATTGTTTGCACCTGGCGGAGGTGATTTCTCAAAAAACGGCTGAACCGATCGCACCATATTCTTTACGTTTATCTCTAATTATAAAAATCCAAAGTTAAACAGCGTGGATCTTCCATTTACCTCTTTGTGCTATTATGACCACCTCAAATGCGTTTTGTTAATTTTCACATTTTATCATTTATTGGCCTTCAGTATCCGTCTTAGTTCGATAAGGCCGATGATCACGTTGTTATGGGAAATCTTATCATCGAACGAATTCACCTCAGAATATCTCGGTAACTGTAGGTAGGAAAGGTCTAGAGAACAGAGGCTTCAGCCACAACCCTCGATCTTCCGACTTGATACTCGATAGAGGCTATTCACGACCATCTTTGAGGTCGTAATGATGGATAATGGCACGGGAGTGAGCATATCTAAGAGAACTTTACAAGAAGAAATAAAATCCCAAGTGGCATCCGTTTACCAGGGACGCCACAACCTCTAACCACTTTCTGTACGTTCGCATACTGCGGCCCTATATTACCAGCAGACCTTGCAAAGTGCCCCACCGATGTTCCAATTTCTCCAATACATTGCAGAACTTCGTTATTAAATTGTAGTTTCTCGCCGGCTTTAATTATATTTTCTAAAGGGACATAAAAGACTCACTGAACGTATCCTCCGAATTGGGTGTACCGATTCGAATTTTATTCAAATTTTACCACGGGAATAGGCCCTAAAGTAGGTCCTGAAACTCATGAAATTTCATTTTCCATTCATGAATTCAGTTTCGACAGTTTTGCATCGACCTCTTTATCATTAAATTACCGAAATAACATATATAACGCTTCTTTCCGAATAATTCTCAACGTAGAGTGTAAAAGCCTTCGACATAAATATTAACATCGGTAAAGCGCCAGTTAATGTCATTACTTGGGTATTTAAAATGACGTTCCCACCAGAAAGGGTATAGATGAATTTTAATTTATCGACCTGGATTAAATTTCACGGCGCCTTTCGTCTCTAGACAATTCCCCTTGCTTCCATTTCAATTTCAGCTCACGCACGCATCGCGTCATGTAATTGCCCGCTCGACCGACCTGTAAGTCCTTTCGGCGCCCGGAGTAAATCACTTTTACACGGATAATAGCATGTAGAGTGGCGGTTAGATGTTGGACGATATCACATTTCGGCAGTGATTTATAGAGGTCGGTACGACGTAGTTAAATTCGGTAGCGAGGGGCGCATCGACGCCCCATGCCCATGAAAGATATTTTCGCGCACGTGGTTGGTACATACAACGCTCAAGAAGGCGGCGACGAACGTCTGCGGGTTTCGGCAAAGACTTCAAGCGACGTAATGCCCTCTATTATGGACGGTATAAAATTACGCCCCGACCGGCGATCCTGAGTTCTGGTTATCTCGTAAATCCGTACCGACAAAAAATCCCCCTCGAAGTTATGGGAGGGAAGTGCTTTACTTAGGAAGGTTATGCCCAAACTTGTAGTCGTACCGAGCATTCACGAGTCCGTTACTGCATTGTTTGAAACAATGAAGGGCCACTTAAGGCCCGCCTTAAAAAATCTACTCGGAACCGAAGTGCTTCCACACACTTAGGCCGTTCTAACTTACGCGCCCTGTTCTAACAATATTTCACTGTTCACGGGGACCTTCTTAAAGTTATTTCTTAAAACACTCGAGTTGTTTAGAAAATTATCGGTTTCAGTACCGATGGACGCGAACGATTGCTGCAATGTACTGCTGAAATATTACCACGGAAGTCAGGGGATACCGCAATGAAATCTCAAGAAGCATAAGTTCCATCGACTACCGGGTAAGTGACCGTGAAATATTTAAGACTTCGTTATAATATTCAATATTTCATGATTATTTACTGTCCAGGCTCACGTTTGTTTGTTTCAAAGGATTCGCCATTGTTTCGCTCCTTTAACCACGTTCCCCCAGTGCCTTGAATAAAACACTGATTAGTGTTCAAGTAACGTCGCGAAATAATGACAAGTGCTTAATTAAAAAATCTCCCTCAAACAATTGGCCGAAAATGAATGCGGAACTTCCGGTAAAATTATCCTACGATATGCTAATGAAAGTTGTCCCCGTAAGAAGGTATTCCACCAGGAAATCATTTATTCCGAACCTTCGACCTCGACCAGGGAAATGCAAGAAGGAAACTCACTGATTGTAAAACCGAAGTGCGTCACTAACGAACAATGTGTCCCAATTTCGGTACCCAGTATTCATCAGCAATTACATTAAGGCTCGTAAATAACATTCGGTCGTCATAAATTGTCTATCGTAACGAACCGAGAGTGAACTTGGCTGCGATCCTGAGTTACGCACTTTTACGCGCGTCATTAAGAGTACGTTACTATTATAAAAGATTTAACCAGTGGCCAAAGAGTCATAACTATGTTCCTAAGTGCATACCGATCATCGTTAGAATGTCGATGCACACGAGGAAGCTATATAAATTGCTCAACACCGACACGTGTAACTCCAGAAGTGCTCTTCTAATTGCAAGAAATCATCCCACCTTTGAAAGCGATAATCTTCAAATTGCTGGATCGCTTCCATATTACGCAAGTCTGATTTCGTTGTCACTTTCGAATCTATGATAGTTACCCTGACGCGGAACATAAATCAGACGGGCAAGTCGAGATGGACATTCAAGCCATTCTCTGGGAAAAGAAATGAAATGCTGAGTAGTTCTGAAAGGGTTACAGGGCTTCGGATGATCAAGGGGAGAAATAATGAAAAGATCGGCAACGTCACCGCCAGTGATGTCGTGAACACGTCGCAATGAGATTCAAAACTCATTGCATTAAATCAAAACGCGCAATGCACGGTCGTGTACTAGATCGGCCCTCTTATTGTTAATCCTTTCCTTTCGAGGAGTCATGTCAAGAAATCAACTGACGCAAGTAAGAAAGGAGGCTGGGAGATTGGCAGATTAATAATCGCACGGCAGGCTTATTGTTCGAGATATTAGCGGGCAAATAACCACATTGTGTTCCTTGATGATCCACAAATATACATATAAACCTTGCATCAAGACACCATACTACTTTTTATGACTTTTATAGCTACACTGTTAAAGAGAAATATTGAAATTTTATAACATTTTCGTTGGATGTGTCATTCAGACATGGTATATTCTATAACATTTCCAAACATCATTTATAACATATTTCCAATGTGACGTTGAAGAATTACAAATTTATTTTCAAGTTCAGGACAAACGCATGATAATTCACCTTTGAGACATGAAATTTATAATTATACTACAATCTTATGTACAATAAGTGTATGAATTTTATGAATATTTTTAACAGCGTAACCTTGAGTAACAGGAACAATTTCGACGTTAGGATGATATCCGTAACACATACAAAGAAAAAAGAAAGTATACGTATAAACCCGATGTCAATGGGAAATATAACAACGAGGAATAACAAACGATACGAAAAATATGCTGAAAAAAAGTTCCACCACATGAAAACCAATTAGCATCCGTTTAAATACCGCCCCGCGTAAAGCGCACTAAAGATACATTCTATCGCAAAAAAAAAGAAACACCGCTTAATCTATTCAATAAGTATATGAATAATGATAGAATTCAATAGCATTTTGCTAGCATACATTTATGCATAACTACCAATTTACCTTCAACGTATGGCTACTTTTTTTAGTCGTTAGTTGTTCAGAGGGCGAAGGCCAGCGTTCGTACGAGAAGATAAGAAAAAAAAACGGAAAGAGGAACAGGCAATACCGTTATTGCCATAATTTCACAATTGAACGGCTTCAGGTGACCTGGTTCCTACCGCCTGCTCATTCTCCTTGCGATGGTAGCGTGACCCATTCCAACTCTACCTCTCTCCTTCTACCTCCCACTGCAAGTGAAAACCATCTCAAGCCACGACAAATACAGAATTGCCCGTCCTGACGAGGCCTACATACGCACATGTGTGTTCATACGTGTCGATGCGTACCCTCTTTACGAGAAAACTTGCTTAAGATTAAACACATAAAGACCGACATGATGTACGGATGACTTGAATCAGCATAAAAAAAAAACGGAATTTCTAGTTTCCAAAACACATGTTATATATATATAAATATTAAGTAACTTATTATTTATGCCCCGAAGACGATGGAAAAATCGACCGTACCAGTGTTCTAACAATTCCTAGGATGCTTAATAAAAGGAAATATTTAAGGTTATGTTCGGCAACTGGACGGGTGCGATCACCTTAATGGTACGCTTACCTTAATTAAAGAAAATGGCGTACCTTTATCTGCAGTCCGTGTCCCGGGCCCGGCAGCAGGGAGGTCATCCGAGCGACCCAGAGGGAATCCGGCGAGCAGCAACAGGAACAGGAGGGAAGGCAGGAACGGCCCCAGACGACGCGCCCTCATCTTGCGTGCGGAAGACAACGCGTTACGGTCACGCTCACGGCCTTCGTCACATCCTTCGTCAGTGGTATTCCCGGGCTCCGTGCGAGGCCCTTTCTCGCTCCCTTCGCCCTCTCTCGCCCTTTCTCATCAGAGGACGTTCTCCAGGCGTTCGATCGCGCTCAAGTCCGAGGATCTTGGACTTCCGGTGTCTGCCAAGCCGGAGCGACGCTCACTCCCCGCCGCTTCCGGCCGCGCCGGGGCCCATCTTCCTCGTAGATTTTCCCACCGGTGGTACTATCTATTGAACATATCGATTCGTGTTCATTTACCTGCCCTTCTACCTTTCGATGCTTTGGTTTGTCTTCAGGAACGGGAACAGGCACCCGTGGGGTCGAGAGGTGACCTTTTTATCCGAATTAATGGCGGGAGTTCACCGACATCTTTGTTCCGTGATTGTTGAGATAACGGGAGAAAGTGTATGTACCCTCGATGGGCATATTTATGGAACGGAAGGGGATCGTCCGTTGGCTGAGCAAATTTCAGAATTTTACAAGTGTTTAAGCTTATCGACATGCAAGGGTACAAAAGTAAGAATGAGTTGCATCCGTTTGGAACGCCATCTTGTTTTTCGTGCAGATTATATAGAACGCGCGAGTCAGTTTTCATCGAGGGTCAATCAATGCAATTTACTAGATAATGCCATGAGTTTTAGGTATTCTCTATTCTACGTACACGTTCCATTCGTCTTTTGGTATATTTTCTCTTCGAGATGTTCGTATATCGAGGCTTCGGATATTTCTTTTAATCCGAAAGCTCATGGAACTAAGATGTCGGTAACCTCGCGCGATAAAATGACACCTAACCCTCTCATAAATGTAGCGAACCTTTTACCATTTTATCATAAAGCGTTTCCACTAAATACCGGCAACATTGACCAACGGCCGTTACGACTAACGCTTTTTCCGATCCTCGATTTAAAAAAAACAAAATGGAGGAACCGAAGGTTCCTTCGAATTATCCATATCGTTTGAAATTCTTTCGTAACCTACACGTACATGTTCACCGTGCAACAGTGGCGCTAGCGGCGTCGGGTAGGGTCATTCTCAAATTCCCAAGGAAGTATTTTCAAAATAGACCGTTAAAATACCCGCAGATATATGGATTTGAAAGGGTGAAACTTCTACGCAGCGGAAAAAAATGTTCCTCGCGAGTTACTGTCCTCTCGGGCCGGCCATAGAATACATGCGCTGCCGCCCGGTGCCGTAATCTCACTGCCTCGCATCTCCGCGAGCCACTCGAGCGAGTCCGGCACTGTCACTCGATTCTTCGAATCTCATCCTGACATTCCGCACTTGTGCGACCGGCCCACTAGCGAGTGATCGAGGCTGAGGGAAGGACGAGGTTTCGGCGAGGAATCTACGTCGACGGAGCTTTGATGTACCGGCCAATTATGGAGTTGTTTACAAAAGGAGCGCCCGGCGCACGAGTCCATGCTCCACTGCGAGCTTCGTCAGGTGTTCGAGCAACCGCCGCGTGCCGATTCGACTCCTGGCGGCGGCACCGCGAACTACCGAGCTCGCTTATCTCCTATGACAGCCGATCACCACGGCCCGCGTGGTGCACTTCATTCATGCAGCCGACTCCGTGACGATCACACACGTGTGCGAGGTTGCGCGTCACTGGTCGTTATTTTACGTAAAATACCTGGTAAGTTATGCGACAAAAGTTGCCAAAAGCTACACTTTCTCCATTTTTCTTTTTGAAGGAATATTATATAGGTTTATACTGCACTATAATATACTATTTGTTTTAATGGAATTTAATAGTCTTCATTTAAGCAATTATCGCATTAATGATCTAGACAATCGGAACCGCAGACAAATAAAAAAGAACAAGTGTTGTACATATACGTTGTTTCTAATTAAATATTACAGTGATTAAAATAGAAATACTCAAAATTATTCCGACCTTTGTGTAAGTATGTATATACCAGATACAGCAATAGAAGTAATAAGTACTTTAATTTCTTTATTATAGAATGGATTCCGTGCAAATGAATAAGCTCAGTTTTAATTAATATTTACATTCGATGATGTTATTTATTTATACGTGTATATATCATCGTACGACAGTAACTTCAATTTACCATCTTAGTTTCTCAACACTTTTTATCTTAATACAATAAACTATTCAAAACTAATAAAGTCATATTTAAATCACTAGGATGATTTATTTAAAAAATGACATGACTTCATAAGAATGTAACAGAATATGTTTTAACGATATAAACGTATGTAACAGCTCATTCATCTGTATACATAATAAATAAAAATATAAATAAAGAATGTGCTTGTATGATTTTAGATTATATTAGGCCAGTAAACAATGTACAATGATCCATTAATAAGTGTGCGACTCAACTACCAACACGAAGTGTACATACACTAGTAGCAGAGTAGCCACATTGTAACCAGCTGTACCTTCACTTACTGTAAAAATAGAACTCTACTGCTACCAGATTGGCAACACTGTTTTACTTTAAACTCCTTCAGACATGAGAATGAAAATGGCCATTTAGCCTGCTGGTATTTACTTTGATAATACTTTCATTATTCGATTCGGAGTGTAGGAACGTTTAAAATCCCCTTACTGTTACCGTCAGTAAGTTATTAAGCAGACTACTTTAATATCAGTGCCATGTACCCGAGTGGTAGAAATACCTCAGGGCTTACGGATGTGTCTGTCAATACAAAACATGTCGAGCCGTGTAAGGCATTCGACAAAGAAACTGGAGTTATCTGTAAAGAAACGGAGGGTCTTCGAATCCTCGAGGAATTTCAAAAACTTTACCAATCTCGTATTGAGCAAATCGATAACGAAGCAACGTCACAAGCTGATCGTACTTCTGTAAGTTTTTCGTGTGTCATGTTGGTTATGTTTGCAGTCTCCAAGACTATACATTCTGTTTTTAAATTCAGATGAAACTACAGATAATGACAGAATGGATTAAAGATTTGGGAGAACAAAACTTAATGTTAGTACGTACCGTTGAAGACTTGGAAGAAACAGCTTGTCAGAGGGTTAAAATGCTGGAGGAGAAATTGCTGCAAACGGCCGGTATCGTAGGACAAAATATTGTTTGCTCCAATCATTCCGTTGAGGTATTTAAATCCAGCGATTATATAGCAAGCACAAAATGCCTTTATGAAATTATGCACATGCCTTTTTTAATGTTTTCTTGAATAATGTAGACCCTGAATTCGTTAAATGATCGCATCAATCAATTGGAAAAGGATGAAGTTAACTTACATCGGAAAATCGAATACCTGCAAAGCGACATTAGGGGTTTATTGGAACTTATACGACGAGGACGTCAAGAAAATTGTTGGAGTTTGGATGGCATTACCTTTTTTGAGATTCGACCTGATGATATCCCACCTCCAATCGAGTAAGTCTTGTCAAGTATTACTTACAATTACATAAATCATAAATCATTTTTCAGACTCCAGGGAGAAAGCATTAAAATAATATATAATACATTAACCGCTTACCTTATACGATCATATGAAATTTGTAGTATGATTTACATGCTGAAGTTTTTCAGTACTGATCGTTCATTAAGTTAAGCCTCCCTGGAAATATTGTTTAAATATTTTATAAGCAATTCGCATTTTCTTTTGCAATGAGGTATGCAAATTTTGTTGCGTATTCATCGGATTCAATAAAACTTTCTTTACTACAAGAAACTTTTTTCATAAACTTCTTCCAAGAAAGCTTTAAATCTTGTTCTTGCTTTAATTTTCAGTTGCACCTGTGGCCAGGTAAATCCACGCAGTAAATCTGATAAGAAAGTGAGACTAATTATAGAACTAGGACGAGGACTAGCTTGGGGACCAAAGTGTCTACCAAGTAGAAACTTCTGTGACTGTTCAACTCCTCACCCTACCGTCTGTTTTCCTTATGAAACAGAAACTTTGCCCCTTACTCTATGATTCAATTCTTTCCTAACGTGTGAAGTTATGTTTATATTTCTCCTACACTCCCTTGATAAAATAGTAATTTTGTCACAATGGTTCGTTGTCAATAAATGGTGGGTATGAAATTTCAACAAAATCCCATATCTTCAGACATTTTTTATTCGTTCGTTCAGTTGACATCGATACCTAACGTGCCTTAGAGAGTAGCAAGACTAAAGTAACTGTCCACATAAGTCAATGAATTACCATATTGAATTTTTGTTTAAACATAAACCATAATTCCATATCTGTTATAATTCATAGAATTCAATATAAATAGTAAATTGATTGAAACATTAAAAACGATACAAATTTTATTTGGAACCATCAAAATTGTTTATATCATTTTATACATTTAAAATCTCTTTTAACATATTATTCAAAATAACAAATAATGATGTCAAACAGGAAGAAGGAGATGGTGAAGGTGTACAGCGTCTAAAAGAGCAACTGATAAAAATTCAGGAAAAAGAAAGGAATGCTGTTCAGTAAGTTAATCACTTGTAATTTTCAATTTTAGACTAACAAGCTAATCATTATTTTATAATGTAGCAATATTTATACAAGACTCGTAATAATATAATGTTATCTTCTTCTCAAAAATGTCTAATAATTAAATCTTAACAGGTGTCAAGCACAATTGGAAGAAAAATTGGCAGAATTAAACAGAAATGTGCTCACAAAAGAAGAAACGATAAAGCAATACGTGTCGAAACTACAAAGGCTTCGAGATAATCTAATGAAGCGATCCAGATTAGGCAATTGCATTGTGTCTAACTCAAATACAACGGGCATCAACCATGATTCTGATGTAAGTAAAACGTACACACATATACAAGAAATCTATTATAGCCGTATCAATTGTTATGCAAATGTCTTATTAAAACAAATCATTGATATAATGAAAAATTGTATCATAGAATTGCACTATTTACAATCAGACAAAAAAATTGAAATAAGCTTAATTCGTTTCTTTTGCGGCAAAATACAATATGTTGAATAAACATTAATTGCTTTACTGAATATTTCTTAACATAAAACGAGGTAGCTATTCTAGGACCTCAAAAATATGAAGAATTGATTCGAAACTGTACGCAATAGCATTTTTTACACAAAAGCTTCGCAATCATGATACCCGTTAGTTTTCTGAACTAATAGCCAGAATTTAAAGAATTGTTGTTTCATGTATTCATATTTAAAGTTAGGAAAGGCCCCTTTAATATGCACTTTTAATCTATAGAATATATCGTAACACTTAGTGTAGAAAAAGTACTTTATACGCTACATGTTATAGTTCCCTCCCCATTTTGATGTCAGCTTTTATGCTTTTGCATATGTTTGACGTAAAAATGTGTAAAGTATAAGAATAAGAATAAGAAGAAACTGATTGAAGGAAATTAAAAAAAAAAACAAATTAATAATACAATGAACATTATAATTTTCTAAGTACACTAACATTTAATGTATTAAGTATTATTATTATAATACTTATACATTTAATGTATAAGTATAAGAATTTTGTTCAGATTGACACAATAGCCGATATTGTGGAAAGTGCCATAATCGCAAGAAATCTAGAAGACGACAGTTTGTATCAACAACTACAAGCTGCAGAGGCAAAATTAATTAAGATTACTCACGAAAAGGACACTGAATTATCTACACTGCGTACACAGCTCGATGAAAAGAATAGGAAGCTAGAAGAAATTGAATATCGATTGGCTTACGCGCAAAAAGTTCGTTTAATTTTGTCCCATTACTAAAATGCATCCCTTGCAAAAACTGGCCAGTTAATTTATGTATATGGTGCTTTTTAGGAATCGCAAGAAACACGGGAAGCTTTAACTGCGGAAGTTGCAGAGAAACATGATCTCGTCATGACACTCAGGAAAGAAGTCGCCCAGTTAGAAGAACAGTGTCGGCAAGCAAACATGCAAACTCATTTTAAAGACGACATTATCAAGGAGATGAGGAAGGAATTGAAACAAACGACTCTCAAGGTACATCTCAACATTTCACTTTTCTATTAACAGATGTGGAACGTGGAGGAAAGTTTAATGCATGGCCCCTTAATTCCTTTTCCTTTTTCCTGCATGCCAAATTTATGTAAAAAGACGGTAGTCGACAAGAATGTGGGATGTACTTGGAAACTGAGCGACAAATTTCCATTGCCTGCTCCTCTGTACTCATCCACTCAGATTCGAAACGACATGTTCATGTCCCATAAACGACGTGGGAATTCAAACGATCCTAAAAAGCTATCGGAAGCTGCATCTGGCATAAAATTGAAATCACGCAGTAATACAGAAAACAAAGAAGCCTACCAGTCGCATAATGCATACAGTGAAATATTGATCGGCCGACATAAACACAGTGCGGACCAGAAATTATTAAAGTTCGTTCGGCAATTATCACCACCTTGCAAGGATAGAAATTCGAAAATTGAACGCAGCAAGAATACACTCCCGTCTCATTTACTCTACCCTCTTCAAGCATATCCAAATCTGAAGAAATATGGATGATAAAAATATCATTTTTGTACCAGTTACCTTATCCGTAGATATGTATTAAAGCCTTTATTGTACTGATGTATTGCGATGTTATTATTTTGAATCGTTGACGTATTAACATTCGGACAAATAGAACTTTATGAGTGACTTCGATAGAATTTAAGTCATCGGAACTCATATTAATCAGGTCATTAAACCAAATGAAATGATGGTTGTTTTTTTACTTGAAATGTCTGCACCGATGTGAAAGAGATAAGGTTCACGAAGATGCTACTCTATACCACCTTCATATCACCTTAATACTATGTTACGAGATGGATTTATTGATGATATTCTATTAATCATATCGAAACTGTGCTGTTTACAATCTATTGTCATATATTTATTATTTTCAGGAAACGTGCCCTTCTTCTCGAAGAGTTCGAATTAATACGGAACCTTGTGTGGAGGTCAGCTAAATTACTTGGATTAATTACATTTATACGAATGTACGAGGATTCATATAACAACATTGCTTTTATTACAGAGATACTCTTCTTCTCGCTCGGACACATCCTGTTCATCATATAAGGTTCGTTAATTAAATAACGAGAAATAAATATCGCATGCTTTAAACTTAGCTGTTACTAACAGTTTAGTGATAGTGGAATGTCCTTAAGAGATCAATTGCATGAAACTCAAAACGAGTTAAAAGGTTTGAAGTGTAACCTGAGTCAAAAAATCGCTCATATTGGGAAACTTAAAAAAGAACTTGCATCTCAAAAAACCAAGACGGCTGAGCTTTCCAAGATTGTGGAAAAGTATTGCATTACTGTCCCAAATATGAGGAAGGTAAGGAACACTTCAGACGATGCTCATCAGTTAATATTATACCGTAATGCATTGATTAACTATATACCCATGTATCACTTTCTCTAAAAATGTGTTTGTAAATCGTTTCATAAATTTTAGGAAGACGATTCGGCAAATATATATGAAAGTTCGAAAGAGGTAATTTTCATTGTTTTACTTTATTACCTTTGTAGTTGTTCAATCTGTAGAGCGAGTACAAAAATATTAGTCATCTTAATAATAGGATTTCAGAAAAGAATGTAAACATGATTGTAAGTTAAACAAGTATTATTTTTGCCAGGATCAGATTGTATCATACTTATCCAAAACAAAAGCATTAATGGAAAAGGAGAAAGATACTCTTCTTGACTTGAAGGCAGAATTAGAGTATATTCTACAGGAATTTAATGTTAAGGAAAATCAGGTTAGTAAACATATGAGCACTTTCCATGTAGTAAAAATAATGTAATCTGTTAAATATCAACATTTTACATACATTATGAACATATGTCCATAGCGATTAACATCGTTAGTAAGAAATCTACTTTGTAGTGATGACAGTATATGTTTTACTATTATTATACTATTTACTATCCCTATTAAACTTCTAAAGTTTTAATCTAAATTAATTTCAGATCGTTGAACATGATCTAGTAATAGTTCATGAGAAACTGCAGGACATTGAACTTCTGCTTCGGAACTATAAAACACAAGTCATTGATCATGTGAGTTAAATTTCTGAATGTCAGCAAACACGCTGCACAAAAATGTTACTTTTTGTTTTAGACTTAGTTCCTATGTGCACCCATGAGATTTCAAAGATAAGGCTATATTATATTATAAAAAGTTCTCCATTTAATAAAATTAAAACCTTATCGGACAAACTAGTGTCCTTTGTCTCTGCATTCACCACATCGGACTGTGTATTATCGTAATAAAACATAATTAATATCAAATCACTGCTTCCAGGCAGACGTAAATTATCTTTCAAAATGAAGACAAGGTGGAGTGACATTTCATTGCTTCTCATGTCCCACGAGACGAAATCATATTTAAAACGTAACTTAAAATGAAATTAAAATTAATTACTTTTCTACTATCCTATGCAAAGCTCTGCATCTGTATGTTATGATATGAAGCAAGCCGAATACGAAACGTTTAATACGAACTTCAAATAAATTCGTTTACTAATCTTCTTATTTCTTACAGCCTGAATCTACAGAATGTGGCGAAAACTACATAACTACTGCGGAAGAAAAGGTGATCTGCTTAAAAAATATACTGCGTGATGCATACATGGTTTGTACTTTTGATCTAAGTTAGGCATTAGGGTATACCTACAATTTAAATATTTTATATCAAACATGCACGTTGGTTTCAGAAATCAGATAAAAGCAATGACGCTTATCGACTGGAAGATATAACGAGAAAATTATCCTCTAGCGTTCAGGGTATTTTTAAAATCTGTACTGAAACAGAAAAGGCTATTGCTCTTTTGGATTGTGTGGTGACTATATTTTGTACTATTTCGTAACAAAGTATGTTAATAGTTTAAAAAAAATTATATTTTATTTTAGAAGCAGAAATATAATGAATTCGTTTTTCCCGAAAGCGGTAAAACGTACTACGTAACAGCGGTAAGGGTACATGCATCATGTATATTTATTAAAACCAGTAGATGATTAAAATGTATAGTTATAAACTTTATAATTTTAGGACCAAAAGGATTCCTATTTGTTAGATGAATGTAGCCGAGAGTTGAAGAATGACGTAAGATATTAAATATCATTCTAACGGAATTTCAAACTATCACTATCAAGTTATAATAATTTGAGAGGTTATACTCACTACTATATTCCAATTATCCTATAGATAAATACGCGCTGCGTTCAACAATTTCGAATTATGGAAGAATTTAGAATATGCACAGTAGAGGCTCAAGCAGCTACTGAGGACTTACAAGAAGAAATAGCTACCGTTATCACCACCTTTAATGTTCGCCATGAAAGAGTAAGTTCGCATATATGTATATAAACTAAGTCTTATAAAACGTCCATAAAGGTTAATTGCTGAAAAGCCACGCTCATTCGTTAAGGTGACGTTCGTTTTTTATATTGACAGCTGTGTCAAATGCGAATTTCTCGATTACCAGAGTGTTATAAATTATCGTACAATAGTCCTGACACTTTCGTTATTCATTTTTATTTCTTTACATTAATGCCTTTTGCAGTATTTAGAACTGCACAAAATGGTGACCGAAGTCCAGGATCATTTAGCGAAGACAAGAGAAAGTATATCTGATGCGATTAATCGTCTGGAATTGCAGGTAATAATACGTAAATTAAGATTTGATAATTTTTCATCATTCTATCTATGTGTGTATGATAACTCACGGGTTCAATTTTAGGAAGAACAAAGAGTAAAGTTTAACGACAGAATTATTAATGGTAGAGCGAGACTAAAAGATATAAAGAATGAATTAAATCAAACCAGATGTGATGCATCTCGATACATGTATGATTCAAGAGATAGTGCGCAGGTATTTAAACATATATACTAAGCTTCATATAGTTCTATCTTCATTCCTAAACAATATGAAATTTTAAATGCATTTTATTTTTAGGAATGTTCGCTTCCAAATCGTATAGACACGCGCACTTGCCGCGATCTATTTGACATTGTAGGAGATGAAGTGGAGCAAGTTGTGAATACTTTACAAGTATTTCAATCTCAGGTGATTTTCGCTATCTAAATTTTACTGAAGATTCTCACATTGAAAAAACTTAATTTACAATTAAATCTCAAATTAGTCATATAATACAACACATAATTATAGACGTTTCTACTATTATTCTTAGGGCTGCATAACTACATCACTATTAGCCCAATTAAAGAGTCAGTTATACAGCGTGGAGGGTGATTTAAAAGATTTACAAAGAAAAGCAGATGAGATTGTGAGTGCACCTTTAAAACCTCTTCCTTTTCCATGTATTGTTTAATTATTTCGACTTTGTATTATTAAGTTATCAGACAATGAAGCAGCACAACAGAAGTTCTGTAAACGAGCAGCCAGGATAGAAAGACTGGAGGCAGAACTTGATTGCACTCACGTTAAAATGCAAGATATTTTGGAAAACTTCATTGCTTCAAAAGATATTGTAATACTTCTTTCAATGTTCCATTCCTAAATAACTATGCTTAAGGAAATGTAAACATGTTGATTATTAATAATTTCATTTACAGGTCAGTGACCAATGTGAATATCCAAACGAAAATCAATGCCAAAATCAGGTATTGTAACTCCTTTTATTCATTCCTTTATTCTTAAGACCTTATTGACGCCACTTTCATATCACCTTAAGTATGTATCTTATGTTAATTTAACGTTTATAAACTTATCGTAGGTTCCGCGCGGTTTACCAGAGGATGAAGAAACAAATGAATGGCAATATCGAGTAGTTGATTTGCAAGAACAGGTTAAGAAATTACAAAACGAGGTAATATATTTTCAATTATGATTCGTGAACGTAGTTGCAGTGCTCCTACTGCATGAACTCAACAGTAAGATTCTGATATTTTTGTTTAATTCAATTCATCTTACGTTGAGATGTTAATATTATAATTAAACAAATCGAAATCTCATACTCCCATACAGTAGTCTTACTAGTCGTAAGTAGATTTTTTGGTCTGCTTCGTGCAAGAGGTTTGCGTTAAAAAAAAAAAGTATATTACCCTTGTACTTTTTATGTAACATACTTAAACTTCATTACAATTTTCAGATGAAATGCAGACAGGATACTAACACCATCTTAAGGCAAAGCTTAGAAACAATGGAAATAGAACTAGCCTCTGCATTATCTAAAGTCGAAGCACACAAAAGGTCGTGTTTAGATAATTCTGAATTGAAAAGGAAAATTTCCGAACTAGAGTCTACTGTAAGTGATTGAGGCTTAATCAACTATTTGATACTAATATCCATAATTCAAGCATTATTTACTATTCTAGGTTAAGATGCAAAAGGAAACCGAAGATGTTCTTAGAAAGAATTTAACATGCAGTGAAATAGAACTTAAAAAATCAAAAGAACTTCTTGATTCTTTTGTAAGTAAATCTTTACAAAGATTATATCTTTAATTTCATCTAGTTCCTCCAGTTAATTTCATCTTCTTTTGTCTCAATTTACATAACTATTCTGATATTTTACTTTGAGAACAAATTTAGGCAGGACAAAAAGTATTAAAAACATGCTAAAAAATAAGAACTTGTTTTCTTCGATTTTTATCGCATCTTGTTATTATTGCTGTTATTGTTGTCGTCATCATCGGTAGAGTTATAACCGCTATAATAAATTGAATTTTTATTTTAACAGAAATATAATGAACCCAACTCCGACGGGCTGATTTTTCAATGTAGATTTCCACTTACATGCCAGCTTGAGGTATGTATGTGCGCACATACAATTATAGTTCTTACAAGTAATAAAAATACTAAAAATAATATTTTATACAGAATGTACCGCAACCTTTAAAAGGATTGCAAGATGTAATGGAATTATCAAGAACTGGTCTTCAAGATCTTGGAAATGAATTGAAAAAGCTGAAGAATGTGGTGCGTACTACTTTTTTCATACATACATCTTACAGAGAAAAATATTATAATATAATAGTGTAAAAGTCTTGAAGTATTCAGATGTAATATGTGTAACAAAAATTAACTCGATAGGGACAATTAGGGAAAAGTTAAAAAAAAAAGTGAAATTGTGTTATAAATCTCTATCTCGTGATCGACAAAATATTGTATATATTTTATTAATGAATATGAAATATCTGCAATAGGTATGCAAAGATTCGTTTTGTACATCATCAGGACCTGTTATGGCAGCTTCTAATATATTAGAGAAGCTTGCACAAGCCGTGGAAGATTGTTTGACTGAAACGGATAAACTAAAACACGTTTTAACCTCGAAAGATAAACTAGTAAGTACAGAAATATATATTATAATTTACCAAATGGTACATTTATCTTAGGACTGGTTTACGCCTAAAGATCTCCAATATTCTCACTCAATTGAACTAATTTTTATGTTTTTACAGTTACAGGACAAGGATGAAATCATCAGAATTCAAGACAATTCTATAAGAATCACACAAACTGAATTAAAGGATTTGCATAGGAAATTGCAAGAACAGGTATGTTATATTAAACTCAGTTTATTAACTATATGTAGATTACTATGCATGGTAGTATTTTAAGCGGAACTATTAAAATATATCAAAGCACGTATAGGATGTACCACTTTCGTTCTCAAAAACTGACATCACTAGTACACTGCGATAATTACAAACAGAAAGTGACCCTTATACATGAGCTTAGTTCTCAACTAAAATATATAACATTAACTTATAATACTCAATTTAATTTAGTATTTTACTAACGGTGCATGAAAACAATATTTTTACCGAATTTCATTATTTAACAAGATTATTTCCTAAAGGTATGTATTAGTTTCTTTGGTTTTTGCATGTGTAAAGATTATCCATAATTTTGTTTACATTTACTACTCTTCTCTTTTCAGATCGATTTACAAACTGGTATCGTCTCGATGTATGAAAAGGATCAAGCGTTTTGGCTTAAGCAGGTATAAACAATTTATTATTTAACTAACAATTCCAAGAAAATAATTTTTAAAGAAATCAGTCCAAACATATTTAACCATTAAACATTTTATTTTCTATTTTGCAACTTGTTACACTTAACGGCATATACGTTGAAACGTATTATTTAAATATTGCTTGACTTATAACGAAACTCATAGATATATTTTTTAACATTTTCACAATGTTACCATTTTGTACAGATTGAACAACATACCCAGAGTATTGAAACATTACAAAGTATCGTTGCCGATGCCAAAAGATGTCTGAATGAAATTGAAAACAAAGCAGTTAGTGATGTGAGTGAAATGTGGCCTTCGAATTCACCTACAAAATTTAACTGTGAGAGTGTGCATGGTGTTTAAAGTACTCATGTAACCATACTAAACAATTAGTAATTACTGTATGAAGCTAGAATAATTATAAACGAGTGTATACACATACTGACATGATTTAATTGCAATTGTAAATAAAATGAATTCAGTGACCAATTATGTTTTCTTTAAGAAGAGAGTCATCATTTTCTTTTAACCATTTTATAACCCGGATGTGAATCTTACATGAATAACATGGATCAATGTTTGTAAAACTGCTTTATGTGAAGTATTGCTATGACATATGACAAATTAGTCCAATGCATTAGAATTTAAGCATGTGTTGAACTGTAGGAGTCGCACACAAACAAACTAATTGTATTGACGTGAATTGACGCTTTATTTGAAAAACGAAGAAAAATACTTCTCTTGACGTAAGATAAATGGTAATATGCTTGGTATGTATTTTTTCTAATACCTTTTTAATCATACTATTAAATATATGAAATACTAAATATATAACTATAATTATGTTAAAACAATACCACTCGTGTTGAATATTCAATTAATTTTACTATTCATTACAGCCTTTCAAAACAAATGAAGACATTCGTGTCTTGTCTTTGTACCTAGCTGAAACAGAGAATCAATACAAAGAATGTTTCGCAGAGGTAAGACTGAAATGATTTTAATAAATCGCCTGTTTAAGTACATATATGTACATATTTATGTATTTATGACTTTGTTCTTAACACATTTGTCACATAATAAAAGTTTTGTTTAACACATTTAGGCTGCCAGTCAAAGTACTCTCTTAGAACTTCAACGAAGTGCCATCGATAGCCTGCAAGAGAAGATCCAATTCATGGAGAATGATAATATTGTGACCGTTGCTTTCTTACACTTATTATATTATTGTGTTTTAAGTAAAATACAGGTACATTTTTTTTCCATAATAGCTGTTTAGAGTATAATTACTCTGTACCTACAATAATAATCGAAATAGACGCTTTTTGAGAAAATCTAGTTGTACGTATCTGGTAGTACATCATTATAAAAATTGCTATTTCATGTTCAAGAAATTGTTAGAACATATGGAGTTGAAAGCATTGAAAGATTTCTTGACTTAATATCACTTAAGTACATATTTAATCAACTTCATGCAAACTACATTTTCAACTTTTCTATTTTATAGGGACAAATCGAAGAACGAATTCAGGATTTTAACCACTTGAGATCTGAGGTACAGAACCGTAGAAAATAATTATTAGTATACATTTAGATAAAGCAATAACAGAATATTTGATTTTGTATTTATCACGGAATACTGATTTTAGATGTATGCCCTCATTCAATCAAAGAATTGCTTGAAGGAAAAGTATCTCAGCATGAAGAAAATGTGGCAGGAAGTTAACAGCGAGTTGGAAGACTTAAAGTATTTTTCCATACATTCAAATCTTCACTATTAATATTTTATTAATTTTTATACATTGTAAAATTGTCACTAACAATTTCCTGTTAAAGGTGCGTTACATCACTACGGGAATTCAGCACAAAACATAGTCAAACAGAAGTTATAAAAAACTACAAGGACAGAGAATCCAACACGCAAGATATCTACCGTGATTATTATAGAAATAGTGCAACAATGACGGATGCAGAAGAATTATCGAGACTACTTTTACCTGAAGAAAAGGAAATAGAAGAAAGGAGTAAAATACTCGCAGAAGAAAATGAGAGTATGAAAATGCAACTGAAAGAGTATCGAGAAAGTTTAGAGATCATGGAAAATAAGTTGGACGATGACAGCAGAGACGGTATTATCAAGAAACTGCAAACCGAGATACAAGAATTAGCGAGTGTAGAAGCTTCTCTGAAGACCGAAAACGAAAAGCTTAAAATCGAATTAGATCAGCATATAAGTCGAACGCAAGATATTATGTGGGAATTAAAAGCCAGCAAGGAGAATGAAAATCAACTGGAGAAATACATAACGGAATTGAAAACATCACAGATGGAGGTAATTTTATAAATAATCACGATCACTTAAGGTGATGCGAATGTGACGTCAGAGAGATCTCATTTATGAAACCCTTCTCCGAAGATGTACCGAGCCGTTTAAAACTTATAATGTAAATATTGAAGCTATGAGGAAGGTTCTAATACCCATAAATTTGTTGGAAATTTGTGTATGGGCATTTTAAACATTTTTTATAAAGAATGAAATTTCATGAATGTAAGGACCTTCCTTATAGCCTCTATATTCATGTTGTAAAGTTTGAAACGATTCGATACACATTTTGAAGGAAAATTCATGAACAATTGATCCCTCAGATGGCATTTTCACGTTTATGATTCCAATAATTTTTAAACATGTTCACATTCCTTGAAGTACCATTAGAATAAAGCATTATTTCTTAACATTTTATCGAAATAATGTTTTCCTGAAAGACTAAAAGATAAATACAATTTATAACAAACAGACCAGATCATATTTATCTAAAGTATATATTAATAAAGTAAATATTATTTAATTTTGATATCCTTTATTAATGATACTGTGCTAGAATATCGATGCAGCTATAGTTAGAGATGAATTGAAAAAATATAACAGCGAATTACTGAAATTAACTACCAAAGCAGAAACTAAGCAAGAGGAACTGTCGATACTTCAAGAACTCAAAATAGAATTTGAGGTATTCTTTACTATTCTTGTTCCGAAATTATGTTAATAGCCCACAAACTAGGATATCATGTACAGTTAACAAATTATATCTGCGATTACGAATCAAACAAATATTTGTTTTTAACCTGTTAAACAATTCTTTTACTGTCTCACTATACGCATGATTCGACTGTGAATATATAACAGGTCTTTTTATGTTGTAGAAAATTGAGGATTTAGAAAAGTCAAATGAAGCTTTGGAAAAAGACATAGAAATTCTGCAGACAGAAGATAAAGATAAAGAAGTACAAATTATGAAGTACACGGAAATAGTAGGCCATTTGACTGACGACCTACAAATTAAGGGTGAAGAGGTACGTACGATTATAAAATTGAATGCATGACCCACTATACAATTTTTATCAAGTCTGTTCTGTAAAATACAATAAATTTCATCAGTGCTTCTTAATTTTTATTATATCTTGTTCCTAAGGTACAATGCCTACAAACTCAAATCGAAGCCATTGACTCAGAAAAGAAGGAACAAAAAGAAATCATCGAAGCTTTAAGAATTAAGATGAAACTATCCGAACAACAAGCTGAAGATTATCTTAATGAATTAAACAATTCCAAGGACTTACTAAGCATTTTCCGTGATCGTGTTCATTCTTTAAAAGTCTTGTTGGAGGAAAAGTCTAATGATCTCGTGAAGCTTCAAGTAGATTATCAAGTAATGAAGGTATGTTAATACTAATAATTCAGAAGTCTCATGAATTCTTTGCCTTGTGTCAACATCGTTTTAGCATAGAAGGGCATAAGACACTTTTATGAATCCATAATTGTGCAAAAATATATTATATGTTTCAGAATGACAATTCTATTCTAGAATCAGAAAAGGCCATGTTAGAAAACAAAGCAAAGGAGTGTATATCTGACCTCAAAAAGAGGGTAAGTCATCAAATTCCATTATATGTTACCATACATATTATCTTTGCTCTGAAAAGTCTTAAAACTATAGTGAGGGTTGAATAATCGCTTCATTTCTTTTATTAAAAAATAAATGTCTATCAGTCAAATTTTTGGGTGAAATAAAAGATTTCGACTCCAATTTCCACCCTCTTTCGTCCTCCCAAAAGAAACGTCATTAGTTTTCGAACCCACTGTATGTAATTTATGTTTCTTTACACAGAATACAATGAAATTGAAGGTAAAGGCAAATAAGATGTAATCATTCTGAAATCAAGTTAACGAAATTCTCAAATATTTCAGTTGAAGCAGGTGCAGTTTAAACTCTGCATATCAGAAGACAATTATTGTAAAGTCACCCAAGACTTTAATAGGAGTCAGGAATTACTTATCCAAGCTACTAAGCGTGAAGTTGATGTACAACGAGCACTCACGAACTTGGTAATGTGCATGCAAAATATTTAACACCTTTTTCACGTGACTTACTTAAAAACTGCTTGCTTAATTCTGTCCGTATAAAGGCCCAGTAAAGACAAGTCGGCCATATTGAATTGTAATGTTAAAAAACGAGAAAACTCGTCGCTTTTACGTTGAAAATATGAAATTTTGAATTCTCATCTATTAAAGTCCGTACTATCTGCAGGATTCTACCAACTTTTGCATATTTTATGCAACTGGGGCAAAAATTACCAAAACTTTGGATCTGGCTTTACTGGGCTGTTAAAAAACATTTATAGTTTATCTTCGGTCACTATATTTTGCATTCCAGGAAAGTGAATTCTTTGCAAAAGTGGCAAGTGCAGAACAGGAAGAATCAAGATTATGTAATTTAGCTGATGAATTGAGCGGGAAGCTCGAAACAGCACACGAAGAGTTAGCTGCGAAATCCACAGAACTTTGTCAAGTGCAAAGTTCATTCAAGTCATGTAGTGATCAATTGAAAACTAGCGAACAAAATGTAAGTTTGCAGTGCCACATAATCTGTTCTGCGAAACTAATAATCACGCCCTTAACAGATTACATTATTGAACGAGAAAATTGCAAGTCTGGAAAGCGAAAAATGCAAACTAAAACAGGAGTTGCAGGAGTATATGAATGAAAATACCGCACGTATTAAAGAAAATAATGCAGATAAACAAAATGATTGCAAATATATGTCTGAGGTAATTGCCTTGACTTGAATTATGCTGTTCATGTAATTTCTTCCTTGTATTCCACAACAATATTACATGTACTATAGATATATGCAATTTTTAAGTTCAGTTTTGATACTCAAGTAATTATTCTTTCAGTTAAATGACACTCTAAAATCCCTCCTGGAATTGAGGAAGGAGTCTTTGTTGAAAACAAAATCTCTAGAGGACGTATCGACTGGATTAACCCAAACTGCAATGAGCGGATCTGAACTTTGCAATGAATCGCAGTGCGCGATTTCATGCATACGAGCCTGGATGGAAGAACAAGTACTGCTTGTTAACACCCTTACTACTAAACTGAAGGCTAAGCAACAGCAGTTGAAGAAAATTGCATTCGAAAAAAGGTAAGAATAAAATTTTAATTTAAACGCTTCGTAACAAACTCTGAGATGCTCACTAAAGGGATTTCTCGAAATTCAACCCCTAAGAGAGTGCAAAAGGGGTAAAATATCGCCGGCGAAGCCGTGATGGGAGATGCTAGAAATAGTATATAATAGTACAGATATCTTCTTATAATACTACAGTTTCTTAATTATATCCAACGATAAAAAATTGTATAATACATGGTAAGAAATGAAAAATCAATATTTCCAGAGCTCTTCTTGCCACTCTCAGAGTGTTGAAAAAGGCCAATTGCAATTTATCTCGAAGGCATATGAGATCATCTGTACCATCTAATCGTGGGACAAGGAACAATTGTACCAGCTGTTGTGCTTCAGCTTCGAGCATTCCACAGGATTCAAATGTACAACATGGTACGAATTCAAGTATTCGTCATTTACATCAGGTACGTGAAGCCCCGGAAATGAGCGATAAATTATTTTTGAAAATCACCTCAGTAAACAAAACTTATTGTTTCTATATATAACGTCGGTATTTGTTTATGCATTAACATTTCTTTAATCAGAGGTACACTGCAACACCCGTTAGAGTAGCAAGACGAACATCAGTGCGTGGGAATTCCTGGTGGTTTCCAAAGTTGGAGCAATTGACAAAGGAACTAAGAAAGAATAATCAATGGTGGAATGAAAATACTTGTAACGGAGCAAGCAGCGACCCTTGTCTAGAAGAGAATCATGATTACGGTTATCAATCTTCTACCAGTAAATGAGCTGCCCAAGATATGTCAGCGAGAGGTTTAATCATATGGATGAGCAAGCTGAATTTCAAGAAAAGTATCTTGATCAATTCTCATAAAATGGTTATTGCAAACAAATAGCAATGCCATTGATCCATATCAGATAATTATTCTGAATGACACGTATTTACCGTCTGAACATTATATATCTTCATTCATGTGTTGTCTTTTTATATACATATTAATAATTATATCTTTTACAACATACAACTGTTTCTTCTTCCTGCTCTACACTTACGTGATGATTGTTGCGTTTCCGTTATTCAACAAAAGTATTTTTATGATGAACATCGATAAGTAGTAGTAATCAAGATTTAAATAATGCAGATGCAATAACCCTTGTTAGACTTACGATCTCGAGTTTGTGACGATAGAAAGTAATACTTCTTAATAATATGTATTGGAGAGTCGAACATTAATATATAATATAATATATTAATTTAGTATTAATATAGCAATGCAAATTTCAAACAGAAGTTTCAGGTCTGTATATAAACTAATGATTTTTTTAAGTTCATCGTAATATTCATAAATTATCAATGATAACGGAATAAGATGAGACTTGTGTACCAGGCAGGGGTGATGTTGCATATTTAATTTCAGGTCCCCACCATTGAATCACGGTATCTGTTAACTCGTTTTGTTCTTTTCTCATCTGCTTGCTAAGAACAGAATGCATTGTTGCATTTTTAATCGCGTCCGAATACGTTAGTTTCCAGTTACTTTCATTGTTATCATGTGTACTTGCTTCAACCCTATTTTCTGGATACGTTCTATTATTACAATTTCCTGGAATGAGCCAATGCTCTTTATAGTTTACATTATCCACCTGGAAAGACTTTAAAAAATTACTATCTTTGCCATACATATGATTTTGCACATCTTGATCGCATCTACGAGAGTTATAACTTTGATTCTCAGGAAACAAACTGCTAGAAAAATCTGATTCATTTCCATTAATCGATGTTGAATTCCATAAGTCGCTCTGGACATCGGAAGAATTCATTGTACAGGTACGTTGAGAAATGGCAGTCCACTTATCGACATTTACTTCTTGTTCTTGATCACTATGCGATAGACTCCCTGAAGACGAGCACACACTTATCTTTGATAACTGACGTTTTGGTATCGACTGTTGATTAAATAATACGTTAATAAGAAAAATAGTGAATTTATGATTTGCATCTCAAATACCTGGAGCATGGACTCATCCTTTTCTGCTGGCTGTTTTGTTACTAGTTTTTCAGTTTCTGAAACTAGATGGCTCAACAATGTATCAAAAGCAGAATCTTTATTATGAAAATCTCTTTTCCAATCTTTTCGTGCGTGTTTCCCCAAAGAGGAGGAACGAATTGTATCATCCTCCCAATCCCTACATTGACGAGTGACTTTGCACTCGTGATAGTGTGATCGCTTTTGACTTGCCATGTCATCTGCAATTGTGTCTAATAATTTTTCTGCAATTTTTTTACTATGCAATTGCTTTATCTCTAAATTGAAATCATCTTTCTTGTAAAAACCATTATTCACATTATGACAACTACTGTACACTGATTGTTTTAGTATCAGTGGCACATTGAGAATCATTATTTCAATAGGAATTTCATATTCCACAAGTTTGGTGCGCTTCATACCCTTACAAGTAGTCTCATTAATATCTTGCCTAGCTGACACTTCCAAATTTGTTTTTAATTTATTTTCTACTGCACAAATTCTATGTCTCATTTGAAGAGATCCATCGCAATGTACTGATGACATATTTCCGTTTTTTAATCCGATTAAATTATTCGATTCATCGTCTTTGAAAGGCATTTTCTCACCATTTAAAGTAATGTTATCTTTATTAATTTCATTTTGTTGCGCCGCGTTTGGTCTTATTTTAATATAAATTTTATCATTCACTTTACAATCTATAGGCAACAAAAAAGTATGCTTTTTTTTTATAACGTGTGAATCTGCACTGGATTTTTTGTTATTCTCGCAAGTATGTTCAAAGTACCAATTTGGTTCAGCTTGTCCATCTCCGTATCCATTTCTAATATTTGCTTGCAAAGTGTATATTAAAGCATTACGATCTATGTTCTGATTACACGTTTCACCATCATACTTGGTTGTATTTGTAATTATCTCTTTGGTCTTGGATACATTTGGTATTGCAACTTTAACTTTTGTGGAAGAAACTGTTGGGGTGTTCCAAGTTTTTTTGCCTTTCAGTAAACCAAAAAAAGCAGAAGCTAAACTGTTCTTTTTCTGAGGCTGAGAATTAGAAGGTTGGTCTCTAGACGAGATATTTGATCCTTTAGTTGAAGTTTTGCATCGCAATAACTGTAACAGTGCATTTGGTATCTTGACGAATAATGTTAAAGGAGATGTTGACTTAGCATCATCATCTATCACAAGGTGCACATTTAATGGAATTTCTGTTGAATTCTTATTATATACATGCGATGAACTAGTTTTAGAATCTATTTCACTTTCATATCCTTCGGTCGAACCATGTAGATTAACTTGTTTAGTATTGTTTTCTCTAGACAATGGATAATCAATTGGATTGTATGTTTTTTCAGAGATTCGGTCTAAAACCTCTTTTCCTTTCAATTTCAGTTTCTTATGATTTTTATCTTTTTGTTTTCGATATTTTTCTCTGCCACGAAATATACATCTGCGTCGTTTAGTTATGTCCGACTTACATTTGTGTATATTATAGCCATTTGCAGAACTGTTTGTGATTTCAGAATTATTGTAATTACATTCACTTATCGAACTGGGCAGAGACATTTCCATTCCACAGTTATAAGTTGTATCGACTACTGTTGCACAACTTGTATCGGTGAGTGATTTAGTAATAGCCATATCTTCTTTGAATTTTATTATACGACAATTATCATTTCTGTCAAACGATAAATGTTTTGATACATTGACAGTATTTGTACCAGGATTCACGGAGCAAACAGTAGTCACTTCAGTACTTGTGAACGATTCCTTGCAGGATAAACAGGAATTTGGTACATAAATAATATTATCTTTTCGGTACCACACATGCGATAGTGATTTTTCCATATGTTCTATATGACATTCTTTACTTTGCAAGAATTGATCAATTGTACGTGCATGATGAAAGTAATTATTTTGATTAATATTAGGTGTAGCTGTCTCTTCAGATTGAAGATGAACTCTTTGAAGTAAAAGTTGATTTAAAAATTGCAAACTTGCTTCACGAAATGCAATTTTACTTTTTATAAGTTCCTTTTTATTAAAGCCGCTTCTAAGATCGTCATTTCGTGCTCGATCCCTGAGATCTGGTACATTCACGTTAAAGTATTAAAACGTTAGAATGATTTATTAGAAAATAACCACACAATACCTTTAATAGTTGTTTCCTCACACATATCGGTGCGATGTAAGCCTTATAATATAAAAATTTGATTCCAAGCAGATATGACATGGTCTACATACAATGCAATACGATTCCTTTGTATTTCGCAAATTTCAAATCTTTCGTATTGACGTTAATATTTACATACGATTTGTATTCCCACCAAGGATGACGGGCAATGATAGATAGGACGATGTCATTGTGACTCCCCATTGTCACAAACTTTATTAATCAACTATGTATTAGTCATTTTGACGATCATACGTCAAAAATGTCTAATACATAATTGTTTAAATAAATTTCAAAATTGATTATTAGAATTTGGGGATTTTATGATGATTAGGATTTTATTAAAATTTATTAATCAACTATGTATTAGACATTTTGTAATTGCATCATCTTATAATTACGGATTTTCCGTTAAGGTGACGAGAAAGAGGCAACCGAGGGGTCGGTTGATAAGGAAATTTTTCACAAAACTAGGTGTACCTAATCGTTTGAAATTTTATAACGTGAGTATAAAGACCCTAAAAAAGGGTTCCGTAGCCATGAAATTCCGTTATTATAAAGAAATTCCAAAATTGGAATATACAAAGGTGTGATAAGGAACTGCGCATGCGCATGCCGGGGTCGGGGACCCTATATAAGGCCGAGCGCGCGCTCGGAGCATCAGTACCCTTTGGTCTTCCGAAGGGTAAGCATCGGGTTACCTGCTTGTACCGTAACTGGTTTAACCCCAGTTTTAACCTACGGTTAAATCTAACGGTTAACCTCAGTTTTAACCCACGGTTAAATCTAACGGTTAACCCCCGTTTTAACCCACAGTTAAACTTAACGGTTAACCCCAGATTTAACCTGTGGTTAACTCCAATTTTAACCCACGGTTAAACCTAACGGTTAACCCCAGTTTTAACCTACGGTTTAACCTAACGGTTAAAAATCAAACTTCGGTTAACTTGGGTTGTGAAACCGGGCCTTATGGGAGACATCCCCCCTCCCTTCCGTTCCCTTTCTTAATATATTTAACTTAATTTATTACGTTTGTAAAGGGCTTCGGTGCGCAGCAACCTCCACGTGGTGAGCCTGGGGGATCGGTGGTTTCCAACTATTGTTCGAAACCACCGGTTCGCAAATAGCTGCGCGAGTGATTCCACTTAGTGTGTTTCTTTTTTTTGTATGACAGTAGCTTAACGTAATTAAAAGTGGAAGCACTCATTGCGTGTGTGCGTGCGATATTGTAAATTGCGGACAGGAAGTTGTCGGGTACCTTTCCACGCAGGTAGCAATTTCGGATTTGCGTGCTAACCGAAGTAGATTTTTGCAGGTACGGCATTGCCGTACCTTTAGTGTATTCCGTCGGCACCTAGTACGTCGTAGCTAAGCTACGGCGTGCAAGGCTACCTGGCTCAGGTTGTCGGTTGCGCGATACGTTGTTTCGCTCTGGCGGCATCCCGCGGGGGCTCTGCCTGCTGTAAGCCGGGACAAGCCCGTCGACTGAAACTCGTATTCGCGGGCCGACAGCCGAGCCGGGTTAGTCGTCGGTGACGGTGGAAGCTGCTGGATTGTTCGCGGTAGAAGTAGTATGCCCTTCGGGCAAATTATATCCGTAATTCGATGCCAACTGGCAATGTACTCGGCGACTTACCCTGTACTCTGCGGCGAGCGTTGTATGGATGGATGAGTATGGTATGCGAGTGGTGTGTTGTATGGACGGATGAGTATGGTATGCGAGTGGTGTATTGTATGGACGGATGCGTATGGTATGCGAGTAGTGTGCTGTATGGGTTATGAAATCCTGGTTCTGTGAGTTCCTGGGACGCCGGGAACTCAACGGAACCAGGTGCCTATGCTTAGGCGGGTCCCAATCGCAGCGGCCTCCTCGTGGCGGGACCTGGGGGATCGGTACCATCCTTATGGGATGATACCGATCCGCGAACTAGCTGTGTAGTAGAATTTAATTAAGGTAAAATTTATCTTTCTGCGCGAGTGCGCGAGCCCCTACCAGAAATTCGTTGCGCCGCCCTTGGGGGCAAAAAACTGTGAAAGCTGACGTACGAAACTAGAGGGCAGCACAGGATGCGATTGCACGACCCTACCCGTGAGCAATCTCCCAACTCATCTCTGTTCTGTATTCTTTGGTAAATGTCATGATTCTGACGCGTGCGTACTCTGTGTTTATCAATTTTGAATGCATTTAAAAACGTAGTCTTTAACCGTTTCTGCTGTACTTTTCAGGTATGAGACTGTTATTTCTTCATAGAAGAGTTATTTCGGAAATATATATCAATTGAAGAAACATTACAGTTTTAGAGAATATTCTTTTCGTATTTCGCATTTGTGTAGAGTTGTAAATATTTATCATAAATTTGATATGTCGGTAACTTTTGTTAGGACGTGTCTAAATTTCGGCTCTTTGGTCACTGTTGGTTAAACGTTGTTGACAAAAGAGATTATCATGTTTTATGTTTTGTTACTAGAGACATGATATAAGCCTGTTAATGAGGTTCATTCGTTCTGCATATAAATTTGAAATTTGGAATATTCTAGTATATTTCACATTGCATAAAATGTGTATTTGTATACTAGATGGTTTCCATCTTCACAGTGAAGTAGTTTAGATATGGAACGTTATATTCTTTAAATCTAACACTACATATTTAATTTGCTCATGCCTGTATCCCAATTTTTTACTTTTTACATATTGAATATTTTAGTATTTCAGTCATGTTCAAAATGATTCTTATTAACAAATAACCTGTTATTATAGTTATTATTACCTGTAATGGCACTGGAAGCATCGATCCTTGAACGTCTTCAGGAATTAAGAAGGTGGCAAACCAAGCAGCAAGAACAACTGTTGAAACAGCAAGAAGAACAGCGAGATCTGTTAAGCCGTGAACAAGAACGTATGTACAAGGCACTCAATTTGTCCGTACAAAGTGACAGTCTTGATGAATCTGTTGTAAACAAAATACTTATTCAGAATAAAGAAGAGGGTAACTGTGACTTAACGGAAGTAAGCGTCGAATCATCCTCGAAACAATATTTTGAAAAGTTACACGATGAAACCGAATACTTATCTTTTCAACATTCTCATACAGAACTGGATTTACAAAGAAAACCAGGTTTAACCGAAAAGTGTTTAGATACATCTGCAGAGTGTGTTATCACGGGTGAGAAACTTCTAAACAGTGGAAAAACTTTGAAGAATACAAGTAAAGTTACGGACAATTTATCACCTATTCAAGTAAGAATAGATTGCAAAAGAGCTAATGTAACTGAAGGAACATCAATAACTTCATCTGTAATAAAACCTGATATGTTATTAAGTGTACCATCTATGCAATTAGTTTCTAATAATGATATTAAAAAATTTGCAGAAGTAAAACAGCAGATAGACACAGAATATGATGCGATGCAAATTAAATCAGAATTAGATTTTACTCCCTCGAAACATCAGTCAGCAATGTCAAAATTTATGATCGAAGGTGTGGAGCTTTTACCAGCAGAGAAATCTCTAACTGGGCGCATCACTATAGATGACATTCCTGTACCATCACCAAAGAAAGATTTTCAGACTTTGCTAGAAGAAAGATTGAGAGATTCAGAAGCCATAATTAGTGTTAATGAATCTGAAAGTAATCCAAAACGGCAAGTTAAACGACCTTTCTTAAGAAAAGGGGATGGTTTGGCTAGGTTTAAACTAAATTCACGTGCAAATGATCCAAAAAAGAGTTACAGGCCTCGGAGTACTTCATTGTCAGCTAACTTAAAAAATCCAAAAACTGATTCTGAAAGCCAGAAGGAAACTGTTAAATTAAAAAATATATCATCCAAAAGAAGTGTAACAATACCGAATGTACCGCAACAAAAATTGAGTTTAAAGCACATTACTCCGCCAAACAAAAAATCTCAAAGTAAAAGCTTGAGTTTAGCTCCATCGATTCAATTAAATACCAGCAATGAACAAATGAAACGATTATCGGAACTTAATAACTCTGATATTGAATCTAAAATAAACAGAGAAATGGAAGAGGTGAGAATATTTGAACTGCTAGAAGAAAAAGCAGAAAATTCCAGTTTTTGTTCTACTTCAAGTACAGTTGTGGCATTTTTACAGTCAGTTCAATCAACTCCGTTGAGATCAAAGAAAACTTTAGAAAAGAATGTACAGCAACGGGCTTTAAGCATGAGTATCAAAACATCTCATGATAATATTAAGGACCCTAGTACTCCTGAGAAAATAAATAATAAAGACAAAAGGACTCTTGTACTTTCGGAATGGGATTCAATTCCACTTCCTAATCAAAACGGTAACGAAGGCCAAAGTTCTGCTTCTATTGGTATACGATCTAAAAAATTTTCTTCTTACGAAGTACAACATACTAATGATAGCAATACCGAACATTCATCATTTACTGATACGGATCAAGAACACATTTGTCAACTACCATATGGCACAGATATCGATCCTTTATGCCTAAGAGATTATGTTAAGACTATTGGTGAAAATGCAAATAATGAAAATAACGTTAGTCTTCATGTGAGGTTCTCTGAATACAATGAATATAAAACAATTGGCTTAACTGACACATCGAGCATATCAAATGATTCTCAGCAACCGACAAATTATGCAGAGGACAAAGCCTGGAGTGACTATTCGACATCTACAGATTCTTCTGATGCAGAATCGGTAACTACAAAATTAGAGGTGCAGAAAAACAACACTTGTATCAACAATATAGATTCTGATTTAGTTAAGGATGTATCGAATGTACTGCAGAGTCGCTGGGAAAACTTACTAGATGTCCGAAAACATCAAAGTACTTTGCATGACAAATCAAAAGAATTTAAGAGGTTGAAATGCATAAGTGAAGATCAAAATTCTGATCCTGAAGTAATTCACTCTGAAACAGACGATGGTACTTATACTTCAGATTATAGTTATCAAGAGAGTTACAGTGATTATCAGAATCCTGAAGTAGTGCTGAATGATGACACAGAAGAAACTATTTTGGATACGAATAATGAAGTAAAGGATTGTGACCTGCCAGGACATAACTCAGAAATGCCTTTAAATAAATACACTTCTAGCTCAAATAATCAAGAAACGTCAGTTTCTGTTAATGTAAGAGAGTCAGAAAGTACTGTTTTCAATTCAGAGCTTCTGAAGAGTAGATTATTGGAACTAGAAAAAGAGATTACTATTTTCCGAAAGGAAAATGTAGCACTTACAATTCAACGCCAGAAGTTGCAAGAGGAGCAGAAGGAATTGCAAAAACTATTTAAAGAAAAGGAACGTACTTTTGAGGAAAACAGGACAAGAGAAGAGAATAATTTAAAAGAAGAGAAGAAGAGATTAGCAAGAGAAAAAGCTGCATTAGAAAACAGAATGAAGGTTGCTCAACAACAAGCTCAAGTCAGCAAACAACAGCGTCAAGAAGTGCAGGTTTTGAAGGAGGAATTAGAAGAATTGAGAGAAGAAATTAGTCAAAAAGAGAGTCGATGGTATGCTGCGCAAGCCAGGCAACGAAGTCAAGTAAGAATTTTACAGACTGAAAATTCAAAATTGAAACAAGAAGTGGCGAGGTTACAAAATCTTAGAAGAAATAATACAAAGTTTCGAAAAACCGGTGTTTCTGATAACACACGTGCAATACATAAAATAAGCAAGCAGTTGGAAAAACATAAACAACCTTTGTCTAAAGAAGAATTTTTATCCGATGAAGATGAAAAACTCTTGCAACCAATGATGGATGCGCTTCAGCTAAATGGAAATGATAAGGATAACACTAGAGCTCAAAAGATAACCGACAAACACTCTAATAAGGGCAATGACTATGCAATGCTGCAAAAATCCTTGAGGGATGCTGAAAGTATTTCTAAGAAACGTAACATGTATAAGAACTTGTTAAAAGATGCAACAAATGATATAGAAGAATCTAGTGAAATGATTGCAAAGAAGACAGAGTATCAAAATGCTACCGAGCAATTAGAAGAGCAACATGCCAATGAAGTGAATCTCCCAGCTAGCAATATCCATACTGAATTTAAAGAAGCTCATTTCAATCAAGTAAATTCCTGCCCTGAAGATAAATGTCAAGAAGAAACTACAATATCGAACAAGTCTACTAAGTGTACTTTAAATGATTCAATGAAGAGTCATTATTCTCAAAAGATCACATCATCGGAGGAACCATCTTATGAACCATATGGAATTCTGAAGAAAAATAATACTCCAAATGAACAAATTGGTGAACAATTAAATAAGCAAGGAGTAAGGGAAGTTCACCACTCGGATGGCCGAATTGAGTACTGGTATCCAAATGGTAACGTTAAAAAAATCTTTCCTGATAGAACAGTTACGAAAATGATATATTACAATGGAGATGTATGTGAGAGAAGTAAAGATGGAATGATAAAATACTTTTATGCTGCAACTAGAACATGGCATACAACAATGCCAGAGGGTTTAGAGATTTTAGAGTTTCCTGAGTAAGTATTACATCGACCAAGTTTAACAAATTTGCAAATATTTTGTTCTCAAGGTTTAGCATAATCATGGTAAACTATTACAGTGGTCAAGTGGAACGTCGCTCAAAGAACGGTGCAATAGAAATTTCTTTCCCGGATGGCACCGTTAAAATAGTTGAATCTGATGGGTCAGAAAAGTGGGCTCTTGCAGATGGAACTATAGCAGAAACCCTTCCAAACGGTGAAAAAGTCCTGTCTTTACCAAATGGTCAAAGAGAGATTCACGCTACAGACCACAAGGTATGTGTCGACTAAAATTTAGATCAACGAAATATTTCAGTCATTTTTTGGAAAATATGTCTTTGGTTGACAGAGGCGAGAATATCCTGATGGTACCGTCAAACTAGTTTATACAGATGGGTCACAAGAAACACGCTATGCCAGTGGCAGAGTTCGTCTTAAGGACAAAGATGGCAACGTCCTCATGGATTCGCACTTGCAATAAGAAAGCCTGATGAAAGAGTACGAACTTTATTCTTAATATTTAAGTCCTTTGACTCGAACCGAATGCAAGTAGTATTATTTTAGTCTATACGATCGCCCATTATAATAAACAGCTTGTAAAGTAAATAATTTATATTGCGACAAAATAAATACTATTTCAAGTAAATGTACGTACCGTTTTTAATTACTATTAACGATGAAATGATCGTATTATAAATATGATTTAAAATCGTGATGGATTACATTTACTGTTTACTTAACACAAAACCTACCGACGATTTATAACCTCATTACAAATACCATTTAAAACGGTCAATTTGACCCGCCGGTCTTAGATTTGGCATTACGACCAAAAGGGTATCAGATGAAATTTATTTTATCGACGTCGATTAAATTTCTTAGCACCTTTCATAGCCTCTCACATGGATCAGCTGCTTGTATTCTCCACCTACGGCAGCACCGAACTGTGATAGCAAAACTTGTCCATAAGCAGTTTCTCAATTCATGTATAGTCACGTCTGAATTATCGTCACTAACTTATAAAGGTTATGTCACATCGGCCAGTTCTTCACGATGGCTTCTGTGCGGCTTTTTGCGCAAATTGGTAAAATCCCATGTTTAAACAACTTTCAGTATTGTTTTAAATTAGGAAAAGCATTAATTTTATAGATTATGCTTTCCGTTATTTTTTAAACAAGTGACACAGTTTAGAGGTAGTTTAAAATGTGCTATAAAAGTTCTTTACCTGTAAGTGGTCTCCTCTATTTTTAAAACAGTCGATTCCTTATTGCATATTTTTTTCACACTTTCAATTTGCTGTAAAATTCAAGGGAAATGTATTAGAAAAAAAATTCTCAGTTTTACTTGCGGTTGTTTTAGTTGTATAGATTATGTATGGTAATAAAAAATATATATATATATGCAAGGTAGGTCAGAAAGTTCTAAAACATATTTTTGACTTTCTCGGTGTAAAAGTGTTTCAGAACTTTCTGATCTGTCTAATAATATTTAAGATCTACACTGGGGGACCATGGATACTTTTCCGTCATACACTGGCGATATTATATTAGCAAGAAAGACATTCATGTCTGCTAGTATATTAGTGCTCACCAGACGACTAATACTTCTAGTAAACATGTTATCATTTTAGAGGATACCTAATATTGCATATCATTACCTTGTGGTACATAATTAACTCAGTTTATATAATCACAATATATCTTTTCTAATTTTTTTCATTTTGTTGCATTTGTGTTTTATTATTTTAAAATTATGTGAAATTTAATAGAAATTTACCTTTTCAGCACCCAGCTTATTACGGGCAAGTCGAGGTGCGACAGTTTCACAAACGATTCGGAATAAATATATTTTTGTGAACCCGTTCAACAAACCAAAGACAGAACTTATAGACGACGTAGGCAATTACCTGTTTCTCACAGAACTTGTACGAGGGATGGGTGTAACTCTCTCCCATTTCTTTCGAGAACCTGCTACCATCAATTATCCTTTTGAAAAAGGTCCCCTGAGTCCAAGATTTCGGGGAGAACATGCCTTAAGACGGTACTTATTCCAATTAATATTAATTAAAATTTTGTTGTGATTAGTTACTTCAATGTGATAAACCTAATTCATATGTGTAGCATTGAAAACATGAACTATTGATGTTAATAGTTATCCATCTGGGGAAGAAAGATGTATTGCATGCAAATTATGCGAGGCAATCTGTCCAGCTCAGGCAATTACAATAGAAGCAGAAGAACGAGCAGATGGTTCTAGACGTACAACAAGATATGACATTGACATGACTAAATGCATTTATTGCGGTTTTTGTCAAGAGGCCTGTCCAGTAGATGCTATCGTTGAGGTAAATATTTTAGTTCCTAGAAAATAATACTTTCAAATATATCAATAATGAGGAAAAAATATATTTATTTAGGGTCCTAATTTTGAATTCTCAACGGAAACTCATGAGGAACTACTATATAATAAGGAGAAGCTCTTGAACAATGGTGATAAATGGGAATCGGAGATTGCAACAAATATACAGGCAGATCACCTTTATCGTTAGTTAACTCCTGAATTAGTCAACTTGTAAGTACCAACCCATAAATAAAGATGTATATGGAAAGATCATGTTTGTAGCAATGTGCATAAAATATTTAGCACATATATATTCCGATTTCGTTATAAAAAAATGTACTGAAAATTGTTGAATTCACAATGACACTTCAAGTATGAAATTAAATAATATAATTTCCTTCCTCGACATCTTTTACTTCAATTGCAGTATAATTCATTTCACGTTATTTTAAACTAATTCTGCGGCGATGAACTACCCATGATGACAACACAATCCAGTTTACTAAAGTACAGCATGCTCGGTAGGAACATCAGGCGAAAAAATCGATCTCATTTAATTCTGACAAGAATCATATTCTTATTGTAATTGCCAACAAGAATTTATAATATTAAAAGAAAACTGACAGTTTCCATTTTCCCATTAAAATAGGATCTTTTGCATAGAACTTCTTATCAATAAATAAAAACAATTTGATAAAGTCATAGAATGTTTTAGTTTTCTCATTTTCTAGTAAGGAGAATTAAATATAATTACACTGTATGTTGAGCTTGTATATGTATATAACTAACGACAAGAAGTGGACGAGTTTAAAATTTAATTCAACTGAAGTGTAAACAAGAAATAATTATAATTAGTTTTCACGATTGTACTTGAATATTTTTCAGAGCGGAATACGAAAAGAACAAAAAGCATTCTCACTCGCTACACGCCTATAGTAAGGAATATTTTTTTCTACCGAAAGTCTCTATTTAACATACCTATGGTTCGAAAAACAATTATTTCGTAATTCGGTATTCTTATTATATAAAACGAATTATCAGTAACTCTGTGTTTCTTTATTATAAAACAAATCCTATTGTTCAAGTCTTCAGATTTCGGAAATTTACACGGATCCCCGCAACCAACTATACATTATTAAAGCGCCTAAACTTGTAACCATCATTTAAGTAAATAAGAATGTCTTTATAATTAATAGGAATGTAAATGACAATAATTTCTCTCGGTCATCAGAATATCTTTCTATACATTTTCTCCATGACAATAAAAAATGATCGAATAGATAAAAGATATTTGAACCAATTGATATTTGATGAAGTTATGTCATAATTATTATATGATATCTGATTAATATTAATTTTTACCAATGTATACATTTTTTATGCAAGCACACAATTATTTAAACTGCTCAGTTTACAAGTTTTCACAATTTACAAGTAGTATGTCAAATTTAATTACATTGCTATATCCGAAGCACATCATACCACACAGTGAATTTTCCCTGAATTAATTGGCTGGACTCATTGCCAATCGTTAAGATGTCCTTGCAAAAAAGTGGTATTAGATAAAAAATATGCTAATGATAAAAATTACATTTCGCTTACATTCTTTTACATGTTTCTTTATATCTCACCTCTCTTTAACTCCTTTTAAATTAATAGTTGAATTCACAATGTTCGATGTTGTTGCGTCTGATAAAAAGACGATACCGAAAGATTAAATTAACTGTATAAAAGGGTCCGCTTGTTCCATACAAATATGTTTCTTTTACAATTGTCATTCATTTACCTCTACAGTTGATTTCTTACAAAAAAATTAACACTGCACAAATATTGACTTCTTAGATTTAAAGTCTCTTGCAATATACAGACAATAAATAAGAAGCTCGTATATAATTATTTCTCGTATCAACAATCTGCGCTACGTTTTTAACTACAAGAAGTTTTGACTGGACAAAAAGAAGCAGGATTTCTGTTGCTTCTATACCGTGTGCAAAATCAATGTTTCGACAGCATAGAACTAGGTAATCTAGCTATGCAGGTATCAAAATGTTAACAGATAAGGCGAGCCAAAAAAGCAGAACACTTTTAACAATGCACAGGTCGTACGACACTGAATGTAATAACAACGTTTATACAAGTTATTTGAAAAGATAAGCGATAGTAGTTTATACAGAAACAATTTGTCACGACTAAAAGAAAAATGAAACTAACAGGATCATTTAATGCAAAGACAATCCGTTAACAGGTTCTGCTTGAATATCGGTGATATATTTGATTTTCGAATATTTGTAAAAGGAAACAATTCTTTCTCGAAAAACTGACTTTGCGATGGAGATGCAAATTTGTAAAAAGTATTTTGCCTCTTTTGGCCCCGCAAAACACTAGCAAATGTGAAGAATCTTCCGCAGAATGTTCGTCGACTCAATATTGATGCAATACCTAGTAGTTTCAATTGTCCTTTCCCTCCGATCCCTCAGGATCTTCTCTTAGCCCTTGAGCTATTTTATTCTATTTTCACTAAACTTCAATCGGAGGAGGCTTTTGTACGTCTGCGTTTATGGCTGCGGGCCAATTCGTGAATGATCGTCACCAGGAAGTAACACACCATCAGTATTACAAATTTGTCAAACAACCATGATATCGTAGTTGCTCCATCCTAAAAATGTGAATTTTTCAATTGCAACAATGTTGAAAGGATGCAAATTAGTATGAAAATGTGTCTCACCGTTGACGTTTTATCATGTAACTTCTGCTTCTGCTCAATTAGGTACTTCTTAAGTGGTTGCTGAAACTTCGATCCCACGTAGGGTATTATTGCTAACAAACTGATCACTTTGTCCAACAATTCCTCGTTGAATGCCACAATTACTGCTAGCTGCTGAATGTGCATTTTGACGACAGCCTTTCCAATGAGGGTAGCACCAAAAAACGTCCAAAACGGAATCAAGTAGTGGCCACAAGTTAGACCGGCAAGATCAAACAGCGGATTGGGAATCTGCATAAAAATGAAATAAATTCAACTTCCTTCTCACACACACACATAGTACACATTAAAAGTCACCAAATCCAATATACTTTTCTGAGCTTTAATTATACCGTGATAACCTATCGCTTTGAGGACACTTGAAAAGTGACTCTCTCACGTGTTACGCACATTAGGTCTTGCGTATTAGATGGTAAGGAAAAGTTCTGTCGTTTATTTCTAAAGAAGTGTAACGTATTAAAAAAAAACAGAACGACAAAACTTTCCCTTACATACATAATAATTCAATATTTACCGAAGCACAGGCAAGGATTCCCCAGAATCCCGCTTTTTCAACAAAATGTTTCATGGCCAGTTTAGCACGCATGACGAATGGCACATTTTCGCCGCTTTCAAGTGCTTCCAGTGCTTGTAATTCTTTGAGATCCTCTTGATTGCAGGCTTCCGTCGCATCATTTCTGCGACTCCTCCTAGCAGCCCTTGCCATAAAGTATGGTGGCAATTCACCCAGTGCCGTGCCAGCACCCCACAGCATCGCTTCAACACGTACTTTCCTCATGATATTTAATATCCCTGCCGTCCAAGTAGGATCTATCGTTGAAGGACACACAATCTGATCGGGATAGGGAGGCTCAGGAAAATTGAGTGCTCCGCACTCATACGCAGCCATCGTAACCGATGCTATGTGCGGTCCTAGGTACAACACAAAGGTGTGCAATCCAGTACCCAGACCAACACTGGACAATACCCCAAGACCTACCCAGTATAACCACCATATAAGTTTGGTCTCCCAGTTCTTGAAAGTCTGAAAAAAATACAGTACATTAAATATAAGGAGGACAACGTCAACAATACATTAGAATAGACAAATTGAAACAATACAGAATTACGGTAACGCGGTCACAATTTAAATCCTGTTAAATCAGTCAGTTAAGGTTGTACATACCCTGACTGGTGCAATGATATTCTCCTCATGATACTCTCTACTTCTAATTATTTTAAGATATCTCTGACCGAAGCATTGGTAACGAACTAACCTGTTGCTGGGGACCGGATACTCTACTCAATATAAGAAACGACACGGTGAATATGACTACGGTCAACACTAATCGCCTATACTGTAAAGTCTTCCTCGCCAGACTCATACAGTCGATGAACAGTTCTTGTAAGAAATAGCTTAAAGTAGCAATCGGATGTTTCCAGAGTGTTAGGCATTCTGAATCTATTTCGCAGTCATCGCTGCATATCCTATTCGCAGTCCCTTCTCTCTGGATTGGTTTCTCGATGACACTTTGCTGAGCACCATTCGTAGAGGTGGACGACGGTTCTTTGGACCGTCGAATGGCAGTGGCATTGCTCAGCATGGTTCCCCCCAGTCGATTGATCTGCAAACCACAAAAGAATAAGTACACCGAAGATTCTCAGGCGAATGGCGAAGACATAAAAGCTACAAACTAGATTAAGGCAGATGATATATTACTCACAAATGATGTGGAGCATTAAGTGAATTACATAATGATTCGATCTAGCATGGTCAGTGGCTACGCTATGAAGAAGTCAAGTTGACATTACTACCGATGATCAATGCCGAATGTTAAATGAGTTTTCTTTTACACTTATTAATGAGTAATCTAACACATGCGAATGCCTTCTCATGGAATTGGCGAACGTATTTACGTATACCCACCAAACCAAATGTTACGATTACACAACCCTGGAATAACATGATATATAACGAATGTTATTCAAAAGATACATTAATATCATATAACGTCGAATTATTGTTCGGTAACATTGTCACAAACTTGTAAGCATTGCGGTTATATAATATTAATATAACATATAACACGTCACTGATATGTTATGTACACGTTACATTATTCGTTACATGTATGTTACATTACATGTTACAAACGTTATGTAATGGTTATATTATTATGTAACCGTGTTTGGTGGGTATATATTTGACCAAGCTTCATGACGGTGAATACTGATTTGAGGGATATTTGTTGCTAGGGTATTCACGAGGCAAGTATTCATGTAAAATCACAATTTTTACAAAAATTTGACGAGGCGATAGTTTAAAAGAAATCCAACGGTATAAGTAATCGACCATGTAGCAAGATTAGTATCTACGAGATTGGACTTAGGCTCTAAAACCGAGACTGGTTCAACAATGTTCAATATAAAACAAGTGTTGAGTATTACCGACATACGCGGAGGCATAAATAAGAAAAAGTTCGGTACCAAATACATGTAGAAAAACATTTCAAAGAGCGCATCAGGCGTTACGAAATGGTTGCTTAAAAGATACGAAATAACCGAGGAATTTATCGAGGAATACATTGTATTTTTTTCAGATTAATTGCGCAATTCATTCGCCGCTTCGTACAACATTTTGCAAAACGGCAGATCCTCCGATTCTTTGCTGTAGGATTTTCGCAATTACTTTTCAAGTCACCTGAAAGTAAATCGGTTAATTTCGAAATATCTTGCGCATAAGATCGTATCCAAAAATAATGGAAAAAAGAAAAAAAGAAGAAAATGGTACAACGTTGCTTCAATACATTTTTCAAGAATTGCATTTCAACCAGGCATTCAAGGTCAAGATAATATCGGTTACGGCTTCATTAATAACTACAATTTCCACCTCCAGCTAATTGTAGTTACAGTTATGCTATCAGGAGGCCGGGGGAAGTTTAAAACCTGTTTAGATAAGGTTTAAAAATTACTCCTGGATAGTGTGCAGGATAACACCCTCAAGGTGAACATATTTATCATAACCCACGTTCCAACTGGCATAAGAAAAATTCCCAGGCGTATTTTCCACCCTAAAAAGATAATCTTATCAAATATGAGTACGCGAACTCGATACGCCCAGTTCGCAGAAAATCTTTTTTTTAACATTTGACCCCTCAGATTCGACCTTGATATCACATTGCGCACTCCGAGCGTCACGATCTTTTTCCCACGCTCGGTTTATCAAAATCTCTATTTACATTGACTTTACATCGAGCAGCTCCTTGATATTCATGTCGACAACGAGGTAATCTTTGCCGGGTCTCAGTTTTCCCGTATTATCCATGTAGGTATTAACACGTAAAGAATTTCCGAAGCAACGCCGTGTATGACTGACCGTATACGCACTGATTGCACATCACGAACTGAGGACCAATGACCATCACCAAATGGATGCTGGTTGACTGAATCGTTATCACGAGAAAGCGTCCCGAGAGGGGTCATATCGGACCTAGGGTCAGACTTATGTTAGCTAAGCCAAAGAGAGGACATTAAAGTACATTGTACCGAGTTCGTGGGAAAGTTTCGTCCTATCGTATGCACGATAAGATTCGGCAATACAAAATTAGAAGAAATGAAGCTTCTCCACTTTTCCAAACGAAATACCAATCTTACCTATGCAAATGTATTTTATTCAGATTTAAAAGTCCTCTGTAACAGAACTAACTTTTGTATCTAAAGAAAATACATTTGTATAGGTAAGATTCTTCCTTAATGGAAACTCAACAGGATTATTTATCCTTGACGAAAAAACAAAATGGATAAAAAATATATTCAATGGAACGTAGCCAAGTGGAGACTTGGCTATTGAAATTAAACACTACCCTAGATATCGAGAGTTCTATTTTAATGAGAATGCGTCTCTTGCTGTACAGACTAAGTTCCGATAAATGTCTGTGCCGTCCTTTCCGCTTTCAGTGTAGATTTTCTGCTAACAGATTCATTTTACACGGTCGTAATAAAATACTTTCCTCTACTCTGTTGAGAGGATTAAATTTCCACGAGTCCTCTTTTATTAAATCTTGCACTTTTAAATAGTGTCAAACAAACAGGATCACGCAAATAAATCAATCTCCTTGACAGAATATAGCGTTGCATTTTGTCCTGACTAAAAAAAAAAAAATGCTTAAAATAGGCGGAGTATTTAATTCCTAATAAAAATTCATTATCGCTGGTCTCACAATGTATGATAACATTCGGATTTAATATAGATACTTAAAATATTATGTACATGAAAATGATTTTCCCACTTCATATAAGTTTTATTTAATTAAAATGGATATAGCTTGTTAATGCTGACAGTAGTAAATTAATTCTCCATGTTATAACAAATTACGTAATGTAATTAATTACTGTTCTACTCTGCCAAAGGAATTGATTTACTTGTTTGAGGATTTCCTTTTATATGCTATATGGAACAGCAGATTGTGCTGTAGATTTAATATACTGTTATTTTTTTAGTTGTTATCATGAGATAAAATGTTGACTACAATGAATACTAACTGCAATGGCGACTACTGTACGATTCAATTAGGCCCAGTTATGTAGCAGTCGGACTGATACATGCTCTTAATGGTATTCTAGGTAAAGCAGGCAACGAAAGAACTGATTTCTACTTTTGTTTTATGATCACTAGTGGTCAGATGAAAACATTGGTAAATTAATTTTTTTAAATTATTAAACAGCGAAACTATGAAATATTCGTAAAATTCAGAATGTATTTTCGCATGAATCGACAGCACAGAGAGTTGAAGCACTTGCAAGCCTTGTTTTCTACCCATGTTGATTCACAAAAAGTTTGCGCTACTTGCTTTTTAACATTTAACACATTGTGACTAATAACCTAAAATGTCAGTTACGTAAATCTTTGCAAGTGGAAAAGATTTCTTACCAATAAAGATCTAATAAATCTAGAGAATATCGATATAAGAAAGCGACAATGGCAAATAAATTAATTGTTACGTTATAAGTCCTGCAATGTTGTCACGTATAATGTAGCACAAACTATTTGCAACCATAGTGTTCAGTGTACCATGTTTGTCTTGTTTCCCGAAACAGGCAGACCGCGTTCCTTTAGCAAGCCCTTAAGCTGTTCACGAGTCATGCGCCGCAGGGCAGGAGTCACCGATGTAACGCTCGTCGAGCTTCCGTCATTTAGGCGACCGAAGTTGCTCTCTGAACTTTCGGTGGTACTGGGGGCACTCACACTGGTAGAAGCACTCGCCTTTCGCCCTAATCTTCGTCTCACCATTGCTGCGGCAGACGAAGAAAATGGCCAATCTGCACCATCGGCCTGACTCTAAGACAAGTTTTGTTGGATTCACAAGAAGTGAATGGCATGAACAGTTTTACAAAGCTTTCCAATAAACTCATCTGTCAAACATTGTGCGAGCTTTTGACAAAATACAAACATACACAAAAGTCGATAATGCAAGAACTTGTTACCGGGTGACAGGCTTTATAATTTTATCCAATAGTCTTGTCAGTTTAAAAATGTTATATACAAATAACAGAAATTACCGACACTCAATTATCGTATGATAGTACTTTGTCATCATATTGGAAAAATACATTTTGTAGTATTTTATGGTATTTACGTACATTGCAAGCATATCGCATTTTACTACAGTTACTACAGACCTGTCACGCCTATTTCATTCCAAGGAAATCACACGAGAGTACGATATATAGCCAGGATTGCAAAACCTTGGCTAATAATATTAGTCACACCCTTAACACATTAGCGCAATGAAGATTAAAAAGCATTTTGGAGTAATTAGTAATTATACGTAAACACAGGCATAAAAAGTAGCACAGGAGCAAAATTCATTGTACGTTCTAAATTTGGTGTCAGCATGTTGGCTAAGTTAAAATAAAATCAAGATGAAGCACACTACCCATTGAGACAATGTTAAATAAATATCTAAGATGGCAAAATAACTATTAATAGACATACCATTTATTACTTTAAAAAAGGTGAAACTATATATCCTTGAAGATGAAATAATAAATTAACACGAGTTAAATTGAGTTTTTTCAATTTCTAATTAAATTTTTTAAATCAAAGCAATGGTTCGACTAGGTCTGTAAATCTAATTTTCTAAATTTAAATCCACTCGATACTAACAGGCTCCAAGAAATTAAATGATACAAAACATTACCTATTCTCAAGATAAAAATACACTTCACATCTTACACTTTCTTGCCTACTGTGTCCTCCAATTATAAGTTTTACATTTGTTTAATCCTTCTAAATAGGACAGATTACGTGTATAGGTAGTAATCTACCTAATTCACAAAATATACACTTACATTAATTCTAATTAATAAAACGATAAAGCACCACATGTGCCAAATATTTACCAAGTGAGTTATGGGTTTCTTCAACTCTTACGTGCTCTATAGAATATACTCCAAATATTTTGAAAGCATACTTAAATAAACCGCTAACCACACATCAGGGAGTGACAAAACCAAATGTCTTTCAACATTTCATTCCACTCAATTAGGATGAGTCAGGATTTGCCTCGGTTGTCGAGCTAACCTCAAAATCGCGCTGCCTCAAGCCCACCTTACTAACCTCTTAACCCACTGGATTCGAACAAAGCAAATGATAGTAGAACAAAGCACCACATGTCTAATATTTACAAAGTTGGCGAGTATAGTTTGTCGTGTCTTACATGTTTCTTAGAGGGTACTCGTGAGATCCGAAGACATGTAACTAAATGAAACTGTCAAGTGAACGCTACGAGCGTTCGCGGATGGCGAGTCCGAGCAACATTCGTCGGTTCACGGTCCGCTTCTGTTGAGGTTAGACTGAAAGTTGGATCGTGGATCGAAGTCGGTGTCCGCTCGATTCCACTCGGTTCGAAACGGTCGCGATCCGGCGATATCTCTGGCCTCCGCTGTGGCAGTACGGACCTGCCTGTGGCTGCCAGCAGATGCCAGTTACTGGGTTTCAGATAGGTTAGGTTATTTGCACCGAGTGGTACGTACGATCACAAAGAATGAGGTTGCGCGCACTGAGCGCACGTGTGCGCTCGTGTCCGAATCGCGTTGGCCCATGACAACCCTCATGACGCACACGTAATGACGGATAGGGCCGAGCCAGGAAGAGGGTCCTTCGAAACGTCTACGAGATTTTTCTGTGACGTTTCGCAATTTTACAGAATGTTCCCAATTACATTTTGCTATATCAAATTATCTTCATCGCAAACTACATCACGAAACGATATTTGAAATGATTAAGTCATTCGGTCCGCTTGACAGTGACAAAAGGAATGATTAAAATGACGTGGAACTTCGACATTCGAGGGTAACTCTTGTGGATTCGGTGGCGCCATCTGGAGCCAATTTCAAATCACTTTAAATGCCGCCAATAAATTCACAAGTCTGAATTCGTTGATAGCACGTGTCGTTGTACAGTGGCGGTCATCAATACTTTCCTTGTGAATTTGGGGTTGCCAGTGCATAATGGGAAGGCATTCATGTCCACCAGTGTACCGCTGGGAGTGAGAATGACAAAAATCCAAGGTACTCGAACCGAACATGTTCGCTACACGTGAGAGCTATAAATGACGCTCAGACTCTCGATAAGAAATCGCGGTATCGAACTCCACCGTTCCCAATAATGCCTAATTTCCATATACACGGAAAATCGGATGACATTTGAACCGTGAAAATGACTCTTATCAGCTGACGTGTAACACAACATTTCTCATCCTACTTTGACACATTTATTTATTACAAAAAATCGAAGCGTAAGTTATTATACTTTCATCGTTACTTAAAAACTGTATAGATCAACAGTTCTGTTGAAGGATTTACGAAATTGTTTTATTTATTTAGCGCTGTACAGTTTTGCTACAAATTTAATAATAATAATAATAATAATAATAATATAATTATAGTTATAATATATTTATAATAGCATTCATCGAAAGTGTTGTGTTACTTTTATTATCGTCCTCTCTCTACGAGACGCTTGTCTACGATAATTGAGTCCGTTTTATTGCAAGTGTGGCCTGAATGTTTTAAACTAACTTCAAAGTCTTTGATGCTGCAATTAATGTTATTAATCGGTATTCATAGCCACAGTGATTGGTGTTTGTAAAAAGTCACAAACTCCAGCGATCCGAGCCCTACGTCATTGGAAATATTTCAATTTTTACTTTGCATTGTTAAGCGTTATTAATTTGCTGTGTTTCTGATAATGATTTACAATGCAAAATACAAAATGAAATCCTGTTTGTCGATTAAGTGTCCGATTGATTTTATTGAGACACCTCGATATTTCCAAATATCATGTCCAAATATATTCAAAATTCCTGTCTCATCTCGTTTTACGGGGACACTAATTGTCACATCGACATGGTTGCTTTCCATGTATCTTGAAAAATGTTACCAGGACTTTCATCCTTAAGAAAACTTTGAATTTTCACACATAGAAAGAAGAAGCACGAACAGAGCCACTTTATACGTACGTCTTCCTACAAGTAACAATGACGACGCTGCTGAAGTTTCATAATGTTCCATAATGTTTCATAAATGGAGTTATCTAATAATTCCTCATCGGTTCAAATATTTATTATGTAAACATGTTACAAATTAATTGCTATCTTGTACTATGTAAAATACGAGAGTCTTCTACCCCCCCTTCCGAGCAGCTAAATTTATTTGACTAATAATGTAAACAAAATTTGTTTACAGAACGCTCAAAATTCCAGCCACTAGCAAAGACAGGAGAAAAACACATGTTTCGTTATATCCCAATTAGTGGGGAAGAGTCACTCTTCCTCATTTCGTGAAGGAAAACGAAAATTATTTTCAAAAAGTTGACATAAATCTTCTGAAAAAAATGGTCTCACCGATTGTTCCAACGTCTTTAAATATATTTATAGATTATAAGTCTCACATTAACTGGGCACCGCATTCAGTATCAGGAATTCGTTGAAAGCTTTGTTCTCGGTATACATGTAGTGAAGCACCCATGTATGTTCCAGGCGATCAAATTTCCTATGTAAGAGATTTATTGCTTTAAACAAGCATAAAAAATAAAACAATGGAGCTTTGTTTATTCCTTTACGAAAACATAGAATTAGCGAAAAATGTTGGAAATGAAAATTGATACAAGGTCATGACTATTTTGATGCATATAGGATAATCTATTTGTCATTACAGAAATATGGAATATTCCGTGAAACATTGATCTTTCCTGTTGACACGTATAAATATTATTTATAACATTATTAAACATTTGTTATCCTCGATATAAAATATTCGGGAGTGCAATTAGTCTCATGCACATAAATAAGAAATAAAAGGTGAATTCTTTCAGGGAATATTCCAATTTCGATCAATATGAATAGATGTCAATTGCGGTACCCAATATCGGTAACTGGTAGATCGCTTGAATGTACATGATTATGCGATCGATCACTTCAATTGATCGTATTCAATGAAATATTTATTCGTATAATATCCGAACGATTATATCCGTAGCACTTCATCTTACAAAATTCCCGATAAATACTGTATTGTAGTTGGCGAAGTAACTAATGATATCCCTAGACCTAACCTTATGTTTAATGAAATCTATGACGCGTACGGTATATTATTATATATAAACATAGTACAGAAAAAGGTCAGCGATAAACGTTATTTTGTATATGTAGTAGAACGCTTAGCTACAATTTAAAATTAGTATAATGTACAGGCATAGTCGTTGAGAAGATACGACTTTACTTACTTTGACGTAGCTACGCACTTTATACAGAGCGGTGCAGTGAGATTCAAATGACTTGATTTTTCCAATCGAGAATAATTCTCAATGATCGGCTTCCACTTTGAGCATGATAAATTAAATTTTCTCCACTGCCACCACAATACTCAAGCAAAACAATAAGATTATGCGTAATCTTAACAATCTACATATATATATATATATATATTTATTTATTTATATATATATGTATATGTATATCATCGTCACCATACTCCATCAACGTCGATGCAAAATAAATCACAATTATTATTTTTGCCCTTTTCTTATGATTTCTATTATTATTAAACTTGGCCACTATATCAAGTTGAAACAACATTACACCTTGTTACACTCATTTTCCCTAGACGCTAAAAATATTACTCCTCTCGCTCGTCCCCGTAAATACACGCTGTTACACCTTACACGTAATGGAGTATTTTGGTTTTCAATAGCCCTCCTTCGAAAGAGGGAACTTGCTATTTTATTAGTGCTTTGATTCTTCGTGTCATTCGACAACTGGTGACAATTCATCCACCAACTGTGAGCCAATCAAAGCACTACGGAATCTTGAACATTTCGATCTCTTACCAGCAATCGTTTAACTTACATTGACCAAGATGTAATTCATCTTACTGGCTCGCACGAGGCAAAGGAAGGAGGGTCCTATCTATTGAGTTTTGGCTTGACTTTCACGTATACGCGTATGTCCTAGCGATATCTAGTTACATAAAGCGTTCGCTTATAGACGTATACAAATATATATATATATATATATATATGTATGCCTTACGAAATTATACGACAATCGAAACTGAATTATAGGTTAGGAGCGAAATTTCTTCGGCCCTTGCGATGTACTAGTAAAATGCGGAATGTGTTAGAAGATATTACACGTCTTCAGTTGACGTTGGTGCAATTTCTTTCGTCCCTGTGCGTGTAGAACAATATTCTATTCTTGTTCCGTCTTTATATCTCATTTTATTTTATAGGCTCCCAAGTTGATAAAGACGAACTTTGCCATGCCAACAATCGACCGTACCATAGAGGTGGGCAGCTTAACTTTATAACATTTCCCATTAAAATACGTTACATAAATTAAGCTTGAATTAATCGTTGACATTGTTATAGACAGAACAACCAGCACCGCTGGTTAAATTCTAAGGAATTTGCATAACAATTGTCTCACCGAAATAACGTTAAATCGGTAAGATTTCCTATCTTCAGAAACAATACCTAGATTTATATAATTATTTCATTACGATTCCACGAATGAACTGCAATTATTAACACGAAGAAAGTTAAATTAGTGATTTACTTAAACCATGTAATTTTCAAATAACAGGCAACTGGTAAAAAAATATTTCACTCGATATATTTACAGTGACAATTGTAGAACTCACTTACCAGAATTGGTGCAAAAGTAAAGGATTCTATGATTTATGTACCGCGTATTTCAAAAATGAAGAAACGCCATCGGGAGGCCAATAGCGAGATGACAGGTCTACTTTTATCTCTCATCTATCTTAATTATTTTGTATGATTCTAGCAAATGACAATTTTCCATTCAAATAGTTCCTACAATTCTAATAAATAATTAATTTCCGTTTAATTATTTATTTATAGCTTATTAAGTGACAGCTTTGAAGGTAATAGAACATGTGCCCATCTTTGTCGTATCACAATGTCCACGATAACTCTTTTTCATAGGTACATCCGGACGCGAGGACAAGCTTTTGGCAACAGTCATACATCGGTCACTTACGAAGTAAATGCCTTAGTTGGAGGAATTATGACGCTTGTTATGCACTTACAAGACATCGTAATAAGGTGATAAGCTGTGGTATCAGCACGTCAAAATAATTTGTAGGTGAGACACGCTGTGCAGCGATTTTTAAAATCGACTACGAGATCTCTAGTGTCATATTAATATGTGTTATACGTATATTAGGTATGTGCAGAATTCTGACAATTTTAGATTGATATTCGATCAAGTGCTTCTTGTTTTACAAAACGAAAAGATTGTAAATCAAATTTTGAGAACAAATTTTATAAAGCTCAATTCTCTTTTCATTGTTTTACTTTTATTCCAAAATTCTCCATACGCAAACGCATATAAATCAATACACGTCAAGATTTCCACCTTTCATTAAGTAAACAATGGATGTAATATTATTTTCATGTATATTTTTCAACTTTTGACTGAAAAGGAGCACAGGTCACTATCTCGTAAGCTTTAGTCAACCCAAAGATCTTCTTACTCACGTATAATTAACATCTGTCTGTAAGTCGAGGATTGATAAATGACTGTTTACTCCGACAAAGTTACTTTTTCTCTATTTTTCACAGATAGCGTGCAATAAACTTCTGAAAAACTTTCTAACGATGCAAATTTGAATTTTACGATTCACTTGCCGACTAAAGAAATGATCATTTAACAATGACGTTAAAGACTACACTTCTTTATCTTATATATCTCCGATAGTAATTAGAAATAAAGATGATTGATCAAATTCGAATTTAGATATTAGCCGCATTCAAGTTTCGGACAATTACGTGTACAATTATTGAAAGAAAGGGTTAAATTAAGATGCAGGTAGACCCATTTAGTAATTGCTAGTCACAAACCTCCCCTGTAACAGAACCGTGTTAATTATTAGAACAAGGAATCACGTTTAGGTGAAGTTACAGTCGGTTTCCCTAAATGAACCGACGTGTTAGGAATCGATTCAGAGCAAAGGTCATTGGAAGAAATTAGCTGAAAGAGGTCAACTCCGCGAGCGGGCACGCGGCAATGCCTATCTCCAGTGCACCTGAGATTTCTTCTATCGAGACGGGCCCAAAGACATATGTCGTCCAGGAGACTGGACTGCAGTATTCAACGACGGATATTAATATCCAAAACTACCTTGGATAGGTCTCTACGATGCTTTAAGTGCAGTTTTAAGGAAGCGCATCCGCACTTTTGCTACCTAGCGATGGACGTTGCGACTTCGTTGATGAAAGCCGGAAGAACGTCTCCTGCTTTAGGAGGCGGTTGCTGTTGACGGAAACGAGATGGGTCACGCTAAACTGCTTTCTTGTTCGCCCCAACCTTCGCTGTCGCATTCGCTCTCAGAAGCTGAATCGCTATCGCTGAATTCAACGGCAACGCGCCTCGCCAATATCGATGCGACGTCGTTCAGAACGTTCACGCGTTCAACTTCCTTCTGTTCGATCTTCTCCACCTTGCGAAGCTTTATGCCTGAAAGGATTCATTTTTAAAAATTATTTATAGTATTTTAAAACACCGTCATTAGAAGTTTAATCAGATTTGAAGATAACAGCCTTTTGATGAGAAACTGTAAAATGTAAGGATATATGAAGTGAAGTAATGAATCTTAATATAAAATAAGTATAATCAGACAAGCGAGAAATTTTAATGATAGAGATCGATGTAAAACTGTCGAAATCTCGTGAATTCATGACTTTTGTAACTCTACCGGACCAACGTCGCCATCTGTGACGTTTAGCTGCAACTAAATTTTTTCTCTAAAAACACGTTAGCCATGAGGCAAGTCAGAATTCTATTGCAAATACAGTAAGTAAATAAATATTTTATCAAAAATGAAACTTCATGAGTTTCATGACCTACCATAAGGCCTTCCTATTCACGTGGTAAAATTTGAAATGAATCGGTGAGAATTATCAAATTCTTCTTCCAAGTAAGCTATATTCTTAAATAACTAAAAACATTCGTAAAGACATATTGCTAAACAGAAAATCATAGAAATAAGAAAGACTACTTACCATCTCTGATAGCCTTTAGTAGATCATTCCGCGGGTCAACCAGTGGGATGTTCGGATTTCCAGGTTTCCTAAGTTGTCCATCGACGATGCTTTTCAGCGGCTTCAGTTTCGGCGGATTGTTAGCGATCATCTTAGCAATATCTCCGTTGGTGAGTGGCATTGGCGGAGTAGGTCCATTAAGAACTGGAGGTGGCGGTGGTGGAGGTGGAGGTGGAGGAATATTACACGGTGGAGAAGCTGGCCTTTGCGGGGTAGGGTCTGGTGTTGGGGGCGGTGGAGGCAGATCCTGAGGAACTGCCGGGTCAGGTTCGTCGGTACCGACCTGGGTTATGTGGTTGGGAGGTGTAGGAGTGGAGTGGTGGCTCGGCAATGGACTATTGGAACGACTGCCGTTCCTGTTCAATAAGTGGCATGGTATGGAACCTGAAATGCAACCATTCCCTGTGATATATTCCTTTTCGTACCACCGTTGAGAACTGCGATTCATTAAGCCCAGATGAAAGCGAAGAGATTCACACAAACCACGCAGTCTCTATCTTAAGGGGATGTGAAAGTGTCATGTATACGTACCAAAAATTCAAAATATTTATGAAACTTTTCTCCAAATTGGGTGTTTAATTAATTAGCTCTATTACTTTTGATTTACCAGCGGGTCAAACTTGACCGAATTCTGGATTTATGTCGGTCCAAGCTTGAAGCAGTAACTTAAATTTGGTCCTATGTGGTTCAAGTGCTATCACTCAAAAGCTTATTTGTTATTTTGCCAAATTAGGGTTTAAGATTGCTACTTTGTTATTGCGGGGAGTAATGCCAACCGCTTACAAGTATAAGGCGAGTGACGGGCTTGCTAAAGAAATTATGAACATTCAGTTGCATTGCAAAGCGAAACCGTAATGAGCGTAGCAGGAAAGTAGTCCGTTGTATAAAAAAAAAAGAAGCGTTTAAAGGGCCTAGGTACAACGCAAGATACTTGCACCTAGGTTCTCTTACAACACCATTCCCTTGCTTATCTCGATATGCCTTGTTCCCAGACCCGCAGCGACCATGAACTCGAAGATCGTTGAACGTACCGTTCATGGAAGGTGGAGACATGGTTTCTCCAGGAGGCGGCGGCGGTGGTGGAAGGTTGTCTCTTCCGGTGCTCATGGACCTTCCTCTGGTCGGTGTGTTGTTGGCGGAAGCTACGGTAGGAGTCGAATTGCTGGATGCATTGCTCGGAGGTGCTGGGGGAGGTTGCGAGGGTCGCGACCTACCTCCTCTGCTCTGAGTGCTCTGACCCCCAGGACTTTGATACGTCTCGCTGCCCCCTTGTCCTTGACCAGGAGCGTAATGCGACCCGTAAGGATTTTCCTCATAACCTTGGCCTGGGTAATTCGTCGCCCTGTTGACAAAAATAAATCCTTAATCCCTATTTTCCATCTTAGGATTAACCCGATTATAATTTAGTCTATCATTTTTTATCGGACTGTTGTACGATTCAGAATATCCCGTTTAAAAATTTTGAGAACCTTAAACTGGAGTATATAAAAAAAAAACTCTCTACCGTCAATTCTTATATATTATTGTGTCTAAATTTATATATACATTTTTAACGAAATATCCTAGAATTGTACAACAGTCCATCGGTCGGCAATGGGTACCTGTAGTGGTCAGAGGCAGGTGGGCTGTAAAGGTGCTGCTCTTCGAGTGGATAACTCCGCCTGAGTTCGATACTATTGGGTCTTGGGGGTCTTTGCTCCGTCATTACCATACCTAGTAACGCCTCGTCGGGGATAGTGTGGGGTGTCCTGTACTGGACTCCCTGGGCAGGCATGATATACTCGCCATGACCCACTGCCAATTGTCGTTGTCTTTCCCTGGTATTATGGGGTTGTCTTACACGCTTCTTGTGACGTCCACCTCCTCCGCTGCCACCCTCGGTCCGAGGTCGATGAGGCTGTTCATGTAAAATAATTCAGATTAAACGAGAATAATTGATTTATACGAAGCATCGAACGTAGTGCTTTGAGGAAAAAGGCAAGCCAAAACGTCTGGTTTATGAATGCCGAACTGTCGATCCAGTCTTCGCTCGCGTGGGGGATGATAAAATTAATTCTTGCTCCCTCGGTAAGAACTCAAGATTGAGATTTCTCGATTTATTATACAAACACGGGATTCATTTAATAATCTTTTTAGTTGTAGACAGTTAATATACGTAATGTACAGCAAGCAAGAGTGCCAGTGAATTGCCGGTACTACTGGATCGACTGTCATGCACGAAAGCTTGTAGGAAATTGCAGTATCATTTTCAGATGAACGTTATCAATAAGATAATAGTCTCGTAGCAATTATTATACGTACATTATTGCACAATGAGAATACATTGTGATTCCAGAGACAAACTTAAGGTATAGTAATTTTCTGCCTGTATTTTTTTTTGCATGACCTACTGTACTATCACAAATTGTGAAGAAAATTGCTATACCCTGTAGCAATCTCTTTTTAGAATCTAAATATATTGTTACGGCACGCAAATGCATAGTATTAATTACTGTATAATTTTCTCTATACGTAATCGATCATCGGTATCAATTGTTAAACCAGTTAATCAAGTTTAAATTGATATCGTTTCCCACAAGTTCGATGAGACAGATGAAACGTGAAGTGATGTCGAAATGGCCTGGCAGACAAGCTACTTCGTCGATTGTTATATAACGTAGATTGTTATGTAACGTAGACCTGTATAAATACAATCACGGAAGACAGGAGAGGGCTCATGCTGTAATACAGATCTGGTTCCCAAAAATGTTTCCAATTTTCCCTGCGATTCCATTTTCCGTTTCCAGTGGGAATTCAGAGAGTGCAAATAATTACACAAAGTGTATAACGAATATTAGGACAATTTGTAATAAGAATAATTAACTGAAATGAAAGAAATGTCCAGATTCTAATTCATCATTTTTGGATCCATCTCATCAGACTTCAGGAGTCCTCTGTTATCTATCCTCGATATAATAAAAACTTGCATGAACTGACTGTGATCGGCGGTATGACAACTAGATTTAGAGTCACAATTGTATCATACAAAACGGTCCCATTGGTGCGTTTTCCCATTTACCCCGAATTCGATGCAACGAGGTCGTTTTTGTATCAGACTATGCATTCGGGTAATTTTAAATTAGTCACGGCACACTCACACGAAGCATTCGCGGTACTTTGGTTAAAACGTTTTAAAACAATGGTATACACATTTTGATAAATATTAGCAACGTATGCGGTTACAGCGAATTCGATTTACACGGGAATGGGCTTCGAGGAGGAAAACACTGATAAGATGCAAAGTCGTTGGCTACTCCTAGCGCAACTACGAATTCCGAAAGCGAGCAGCTAGGGCAATCTCTAGGAGCAAAAACAGATCTGTTAATGAAAAAATCACACAAATGTGAGCTCGATTATGTATATGAGTGAGAGTGACTGATGATTAATAATTTATAAAAATTGGACATATGTATATGTAGATATACATATACATATATTTATATGAAGATAGGGGTGGTAAAAACTACAAAGATCCAAACCATCGACTTGCCTCTCTGAACGGTTCGGCATATTCAGACTCGGTCTACAACCAAGGGACAAATTCAGTATTTGAGATTACTTTAGTTCCTTCGCTAAATAAAGACTTGTCGAATCTAAGTGTATGCATACCTCGAATCACTCGCTACTTAATATGCATTCGATACCGCTAAGAATAACTGCGAGCAAAAGGACTCACCCGATTTCGTTCTTCGAGTTAAATGAACAGAAGTTGATTAAACAAAAAAAAAAAGAAAAGAAAAAGAAGGGAAAGAACGGAATGCGACATTAACTTAGCTCGACTTACGAGCACAGTTACCACACAATTCGAGTGCATTATTCCGAGATACGCAATGACAAAAGTATGGAAAGGTTTGATTATGGCGTTTCCCACCTTCTTCCCTCTGTCGTGCAATTTCTTCTCGGTGTCTTTTAGCATTTCCTGACTCCAAAGATCAAAGAAGTAATTGGGGTCGGTGTAGAATTTCAGTCCATCCTTTCCGTCCTCTCTGGAAACATAATTAATTTGAAAATGTATTCAAATCTATTGTCATCCAGCGAAAATCTTACCCCTCGAATTTGTTAACTTATATTCTACCAAGGGATATTTAATTAGAGGTAATGGTCCTCTATTTTAAAACGGATTAATTTTCGTTGGAGATAAAAGGTAACTATTCAGACATCAAGGTTCAATGATAATTTTCAGAGAACAATGGCTTTTAATATTCTTTCCACAGTGACTATCTAAAGCGAAGTTAAGTCGGAGATCAAATGAAAATAAAATACAACACAATGTTTCATTCCTCGGAAACAAAAGTGTTTCTTAGAAATCAATTTTTGCTACAGGTAATTAACGTTACTTTCCTACTGAATTTTACCACGGGACAGGTAGCAACGTTTATACTAATTTTAGATACTCTAGTTACCTTTACTTGAGAACACCAAAGTAAAGAAAAGAAAGTACGCACCTATAAACATTAAGTTTATCCAATGGTGGTGGAGTATCGCATTGATGGTAAGTTTCCAGCATGGCCGTGGGCATGGTGTCCCTGGAGACGACTTGTTGATCGAAGACGACGGAACTTTTGAATGCCTTCCTCATATGGATGTCTTGCAGCGATACTGGAAAGAACGTTCATAGTTGATTAGTCACAATTAGCCATTTTTCAATAAATGATACGACCTAACAAGTATGCGGAAAACAGAGAGGGGATACATTCCAATGCGTAACGCTTTTTCGTTACATCTAATCTTTTCTAGCATTTACTCCTCAAATGGTCGAGGCTTGGTCGCCGCATAAAAATTTTCACTTCAAAAAGTGTCCTATTAGAATCTACTGATTTGAGGTGAAATGAAACGAATGAAAGTATGAAAGAAATCGAAGCAAAACTCCAGAACTCCTCTGGATTCATGCTTTCTGGGGCCCTAATTGACTGCAGAGGGACCCCTGCGCCATCTGTGATTTCCGTGTCAACTAAATTACACTCCGAGACCTCGTATTACCATCGTTTTAGCATACAAGCGTATAAGACACTTTTTTTGCCTTTATCCCGTGCAAATGCCAGTTTCTCGATTACCAGAGTGTTCTAAATTGTCGTACAATTGTCCTGACCCTTTCGTTTATCATATTAGAGCCTTCAATGATTGTACATCGATCGAAATATGAGAGCTCGATGCCATCTTGGTTCTACAAATCTTTTTTCTTCAAAAATCCAAATTTTTAACGTGTCAGGGCAATTCTTAGACGACCACGAGTCACGCGTCAAAGTTTCGGACAGTTTGGTCGAATACCCTTAAAAAAAGTGTTTTACTCGAATCGATTGATTTGAGGGGGGTTTCACTTCACCTTAAGGGTAAAGATCTACCAACCTTCTTCAACGTTGCTGTCTAGCTGCGTCACTTTGACGGCCAGCCTGTCTATTCTAGCTTGTAAGGAGTTCGCCCGGTCGCTGAGTCCGTGGGCCTCTCTCGCCAGCTCGCCAAAGAGATCCTCGGCGTGCCTCGAGAGACTCGAAAGTTGTCTAATCGTATTAGCCAGGGTTCCGTTGGTGGCGGCTTCCAGTTCCGACGGCAGCGGGAAGTCCTCGGGGATGGTGCCCCGCGCCACGTGAACGGGCTCCACCAGCCGTTTCGGGAGCGGCATCCTCCGGGATTAGGGCCGGGGCCCTCGACTCCGACGAGACGACTCACCGCACTCCACGAACCTACGACAGATTTCAACGTATATCTTAGATTTGAACAAAGTTGGTTCAATTTAGATCTGGCGGTAAATCACATTTTGCAGTTGAATCAACTCGACAAAGAGGTACACGACAACCTATGACAGATTTCAACGTATATCTTAGATTTGAACAAAGTTGGTTCAATTTAGATCTGGCGGTAAATCACATTTTGCAGTTGAATCAACTCAACAAAGAGTTACACGACAACCTATGACAGATTTGAACGAGTTGGTTCAATTTAGATCTGGTGGTAAATCACATTTTGCAGTTGAATCAACTCAACAAAGAGTTACACGACAACCTATGACAGATTTGAACGAGTTGGTTCAATTTAGATCTGGTGGTAAATCACATTTTGCAATTGAATCAACTCAACAAAAAATTGGTATAACTCATTTTAAGTTTAATCGACTCTTTTTTTACCACCTATATTTTTAGAGGTGATAAAAAAATATCCGATCAAATTGCCGAACATCGACGCCATATTAATATCTCTGTAATTTGATCAGCTGACTCTTAGGTCTATTTTTTTGCGTTACCATTAATGCGAAATGTATGACGGGCTTTACACGCGAATGCTAATCCCGATAACGTTCCCTTTCTGCTCATGTAATTAGTTCATTCGGTTACACGACATATACCGAGAAGAGAGCTCGAAATGAATCTAAAAAATTAATTTCCACTAATTAAGCGAGTGCGACATGCACTTCCCTTGAGTTTCTACCTCGGGATGTGACGTTACAAATGACGCGAAAAAAAGTGATTACCTTACAGAAGAAAAGTTGAATGTTAAATCCAGCGTTAGAAATGTTGAATTTTTAGAACTACCTTATTATAAAATTAGAGGAAAGTAGCGGCATTGCCGATCGATTTGCTGGCTTGCGTGGGTAATCAAACACTCTCGTAATCCGAACGTTAATGCGTTGCGAGCTGATCAATAGCCAGGGACGTTGATTGTTATTTTGCGAAACATTCGTCGCGTTTGATAGCGTAGTTAAATTTTTCTTCGCCTACGGCTCCGAGATGAGCGATCGAGACGAAAGTAGTAGCAACCTCGACTAACGAGCGGATGTACTCGAATGCTGGGTTCTGCATTTGTTATGCAACGAAGCAGGGTTAACGATACGACCGTGACCGACCAAGTGAATGTCCTGGAGCAGACGTGTCGCGAGCTCTAATTAATAACCTGCCCTTTACTGCTAATTACCGAGATTCGCTTTGAACAACCGTCCGTGGCGCTTATCATAACAGGAAGCGTAGACGTTACAATCATCCTACCGTAAAATATTATAAAGTTTATTAACTAGATAAAATTGAAAACGAAATTAGCAATGATCACAGTAGACGCGTTGTGGAATCAATGTTGATATGAGATAACGATGTCGACTCAACGTTGTGACCGTGACCGACCAAATGAATGTCCTTTATCAGTTACTTATTGATATCTCTAGTAAAATTATTATTCAAGATTTTTAACATAAAAATACGTACGTAAAGTACTTACGTACATGTGTATGGTTGGAAGTAAATTAAGTAAAAGTAAGCTAATCAGGGTACTGTAACTGAAATATGGACTCCGCACAATTCTAAATCTGGCACTTATGTTAGTGGAATATTCCTGGGATATAATAAAAGACTTATGCACTTTGCAATAAGAGTCACACTTTATAAGGGTTGTCAGGACATGTGACCCTTGTCGCGTAATGGTCACGTCTTGTTTATTCATCGAGGTTGAATACAATCATTGAGAGACCGCATCAACGAGTTCCTTCTTCCTCGCTCCTCGAAACTGATACGAGAAAAAAAAACGTCGCCCAGCTCTCTTCTAGAGTGTTGCTCTCGTTACACGCTGCTCAAGATCTATAGAAAGTCTTGAGTCGCGCTCGAGTTCAAACCATTGATAAATCCTGCTTTGTAAATATCCTAGATTGCCAATACTGCCAAAAAAAAAATCATTTTTTTTTTCAATTACTACAGGGACATGGTTAAATTACTGTGGGAAGTAAAACCACACACATGACGAAATTGACAGCATGGAATGGTAAATAGAAGTAAATACCCTTTTGGAATGAATTGCTCACTTTTGAGGAATGAGATTTATACAAGGAATATTTAATTTCAACGATAATGATAAGATCAAGCTCGATAAAGGCTACTGGCTTTGAGGTTCGAATATTAAAACTCGACTTGCATACGACACCCTTAATTTTAAGACCAGGTTTAAAGCCTTATAAATATCCACCCTTTACGACTTTACGATCATGACTACTCTGCGCAATTATCCCAGAGTGCTCCATAATAAATTACCCAACACACCTTATACTTCGTAATTTATTGCTAGAATTTAATTACTTTTCTCTACCAACTGTGGGTAACGACAGTGAAGTGCACTTAGTAATAAGGTTTGAATTCTCCGCCATCTTGGATGATTGCGCGCGCACGTTTACTTCTGCCATTTTCTCAGCCACTAAACCGGGAGCAAGAGATCTCGTATTTCCGTCGTACCCATCGCTGTCGATAACCAGGAGATACTGAAATTACATCGACCCTAACGATCCAATGGGAGTATTCTTGTTGGATCGAGACGAGTTGCTTAAGATTGTCTCTATGTGTCGGGTCTACCCACAGACCGATCAGCGGTACTTCTACCTAACCTAACCTATTTTCTACCCACGTGATTCGTCGATCGGCGCGTCGACACATCCGGATTGGGATTATCACACGACATTATGTGTAACAGGGTTCGAAATTGCATTTAGTTGAATTGAATTTCATGAATTTTTCTTGCCCCAACATATTATTTGTAAATAGTACTATAGCGATCTGCATACGATACATAATAATACCGATTAACATATATTATGTGTAACATGTCTTCCGAATAGTTTATTTCAACGCGTTGACTGCCATGCCACGTGATTGTAGATAACAGCTGACCGATTAACATATTTCGTGGCAGCCGACGCGTAAACGTTGACATATCAATTCGAAATCCCACGTGGCCTGCATAACTCCCAGCACACCTTTCTATGATACATCTTTTTCCAGATTGAACTATCGTACGATGTGATTTACTTAATTCATGTGCATTCAATTGCAATGACGATGCGTGACATTTAAATGACGCATGCGCCTAAGGCAGTGGAATCCTCGGTTATGTAGCAACAGTGGAGTCGCATGATTACAAGCCAGTCTGGCAGCAACGCGTATTTAAATATGTAAGGTATTTCTGCACCACATTTTTCCCACCGTGATTTAATGAGCATTTTGAGCCGATGACTGTCAGGACTCGTGATGTTTCCAGAATGTCGGTTCCATGCCCATGTAGCCGTCAAAGATTATGCACGCGAGCACGTATCATAATTGCGGCAATACTTCCCTCCTGTGCCGTTGCTTGCCCTGGTGGGGCAACTCGACGTCGTCAACTCAACCCTTTGATCTTTTCGCGCCTACGTCCTCGACGAGAGTCGCCCTGTAAATCGTATGCTTGGAGAACTTGAGTCACCGTGCACGCAAACACGGACTATGCATGCATGGCTCCCTCCCGACCACCTCGACGTACACGCTATTTGCATTTTATACCCTCTCCCACGCATCGATGGCGGCACCCATATCTTCATTCATTGCCAGACCAGCCGACGGAGGAAGTCGAGTAGATACGAGATCTCGGAGAGGAAGTACTCAGCTCGCCCCGGGCGCGACGTTACAGGCGATCCTCATCTGTTTGTCGTTTGTTTTTTAATCCTCGATAGTCGATGGGGGGGGCGGAAAGTGAAATAATCATAAAAGCACGAAGGACAGGGGCCACAAATGTATTAATCTATTTATGCTAACCCCTTGACATACAATGACGTCTGGGAGACGTCATTCATTTCATGTGCCATTGTAGACTTTGACGTCTCCGAGCTGTCAAAAATCGCCTCTGGCTAAATTAAATAGTATTTCTAGGACTCATGAAATTCCGTTTCATTAGTATGTCAAGGAGTTAATATTTGTAAATATCGGGGAAAATTGGGTATTTTATCCTGCGAAAAAAATTAGACAAGTGCGAAACGTATATATACGAAATAAACGAAAAATATTAACCTACGGGATGAAAACGATTTTATGCGGAACATAGGTAGGACGAAAAGAGTCCCGCTTCAAGCGGCGCTGCAGTTTCATTCCCGCGGTCTGCTTGCATAAGGCAAGCAGTATTTACGGCTCTAAAGGTCACTACTACGGTCGAGTAGTACGTTCACTCGGTACAACCACTCACGCAGGTTGGAGCGGAGTCGCACCTAGACTGGCCGAGGCGAGTAGGCTCGTTCCCTGCCGGCATGAAGCGAGCTCGCGCATGCGCGTGACCGGCCACCCTGACGACATAGTGACGTCATCGCCGCGTGGAATTGCGATAAGAACCAGCGAGGAATTTACGCCGATTTTTCGCCCTCGGGGCATATTTCCGCGAGTTTCCGAGTTTTTCCATTTAACACGGAAAAAAAAAGGAACTACTTCTCATAAAGCAAGACTCAATCGTGCGCTCTAAACATGAACGTTATACTCTTGAGATTAGAACAATTGTATTCTTACGTTAAAAAAATATGTTAACTTCTATCCTTATGAAAGTGAGTAACATTCTAAGGATCAGGATTTTCGCTGATAAGGATTAAACATATTTCGGTGGATCTCTAATCTTAATTCGGTGTCTTGTGAGGAGGAAATCCTCCAAATCCGGTAATTTCATAGCTGGCAAGAAGATCTGTATTTACGACTCGTTTCGCCATCGGTTTAATTTCCTCAGCGCTTAAAAAGAGAAACACATCGCCTTAAGAGTTAACTAACTCTATTGCTCCGGCTTTGCAGGAGTTTGTTCTTGCAACACGAACAATCAAATTTAATTGGAATTAATTGGTGCTCCCTTTGATGAATCCGTGACGAAGTTTCCATTCATTCCTCCTCTAGAGTAACTTCAAGACAATAAAACGAATTCTTTGAGACATCCTCAAAGATTCGTTCTAATTAATTTCCTCCACTTTTTATTAGCTTTAAACGTGGCACTTCATTGTGAAAAAAATCCCGAAGCAGCCATAAATTGACTACACAATATGGTTTGGAAAATCTTTGTAATCGACGGTTATTTTTACCGAGCTTTTGAGAAAGGCAAAAAAAACGATCCTGGGTGAATTGTAGTAATTAATGGTTATAGTAACTTTAAAAAAAAAAAAGAGGCAGCTTTGATATTAATTTTTATGTCAGCGGCGTTACTGTCTCCTCGGATTAACTTTTTCGGGGAGCTAACAGAGATTCGAGGAAATTATCGTAAATCGAGATTACGATATTTTCACAGCATTTTCTGTTGATTTTGAGTGTTTTGATCAACATACACGGATCGATAAGGGCCTCAAAGGTAACATCCTTATCAATGTTATCCTTATATGTTACTGATTCGCCCAAATATTTTTCTGGCTGTTTTACTGTGTATGTATAACTAATGTATAACTATCGAAAAAACAAAGGGATCAAAGTTCATCCATAAAATGTTCATAAAATCATCCATTTTCCATATTAAAAAAAAAAAAAAAAATCAAAGAACGCAACGAAACTCATAGTCATATCCGCAGTTGTATCGCTGCCAGCAGTGAGTGGGTACAGTGGTTACCACAGGAATCCTACTTATTTTCAATCCATAATAAGAACGAGGGTTCGGTCTGAAAACTGCAGAAACCGCGTTAACCAAGTCTAAGGGGAATGCCGAAGGCGCCGGTTAATGGGGTCCTTGCTCTCCACTCCTTATGGATTTCTCCTCGCTCCCGTGTTTCCCCGTGAGTTTCCCCCGGGGCTCGCTTTTCCCATCAAAGCTGGTCGCATTTCATCGCGGATTGGCCGCGAGTTCCCCCTTTGCCTGCTCGTCACTTTTTCCCGACGCACCTTTAAATAGATCCGGCGTGAACGATGCCTCGTAAAAGCTAAAGTGATGGGTAGTTTTAAACAGCAGCCTCGGATTTCCACCCTTACGCCACGAGGGATCGAACGTTTCCATTGGGGTCACTTGCGTGCACGTAGCCGCGTCGTTAAAGTGATATGAAAGTGTCATATATATGTACACAAAAAATTTAATATATATATAATACTTTTCTCCAAATTGGGTGCACCGAATCATTTGAAACCTCATCAGGAGATTATGGAGGCTGTAAGGAATAACGCGATGCTCGTGAAAGTGATATGAAAGTGTCATATATATACACACCAAAAAGTTAATATATATATATAAACCACACAAGAAAAAACGCGATGCTCGTGGAATTTCAACCTCTCGTAATTTCCTATAATTTAAGCGTTTCTTCTCAATAACACATTCTATATTAAATTCCTACATACGATAAGTACTTGGCACGTCTCTCGTTGAAGCACTCTTGACCTTCGATAACAAGTACCAATTAGGTGGGAATGGTATCGAGCGTTACTGGAGTACCCATCTAGGTCACTCGTATCGAAAGTGTACCGCATCGTCGGATTAACGAGGATCGATCGATCGGGTCAATTAGACTACATTGGAAGATTTTTCAATCCAGTCCCTCGTCTGCACATCCTTGATCTCCGATTAAACCAGGATCGTCAAGGTGATGCGGAACGAATTTGTCCCACGGATATAATTAAAAAAGAAAAACGGATTTATACCGCTGATTAATACACTGTTAAAAAAAAATATTATAATTTTATAACATTTTTCTTGGAAGTTTTATTCAGAGCTGGGTGCGTAATGTGGTGCGTAATATTCACAATGTCAAGTTTGAAAAGATTCGGTACCCTCGGTTTGGAGAAAAGTTTCATAAACGGGACATCTTCACGCCACCTCAAGACTTTCTCTAGGAAAAGTCGATAAAAATTAATTTTAATCCTAAATCGCACGCGGAAGCGGATAATGCGGTAGAGATCCGACGTAGTTTGGTGCCCGTAATCGGATGACGTTAAATCGAATCCCGGCGACTCCACCCTTACCGCGAGAGGGAGCAAAGGAGTGCGGGGAGTGCGAGGGATCGTAGTTCCCGGAAGTTGCCGGGAATCCCGCAAGGGAGTTGCGTGCCTGGGAACCGCCCCGAGGAAAGGGGTTGGCAATGCATCTTCGAGGTCGTCTTCCGGGTCCCCGAAGCATCGGCCTTGTATTTGGTTGCAATATTGATCAAGCCGACTACCAACTGTCGGTGGGGGTTGAGGGGTTGAGGGGTTGAGGGTTGCCAGGCGTGAAGCGGGCCTCCCCGTAGTCCGTGACTCACTGAGCGCCGCCGGGTCCGCCCTGCCCCGCCCTGGTCTCATGGGGTGACTTCCGAATCGAATCGTCGACGTTTTGATGTCCATAAAGCTGGCATTGCCACTTTGGCACAATTCAATCAAATTTATTGCCAATTTATTGCGCAAGAAAAAAATCTTTTGCACTTATACTTTTTTGAAAAACGATGACATTGTATCAAGCTAGCATTGTAAAAAGAAAAAAAATTATTTTCTTGCGCAATAAAATAGCAAGAAATTGGCAATTAATTTTATTGAATTGTGCTAAAGTGGCAGTGCCAGCTTTATGGATGTGACGATGAAAGTATGGTAAAGGGGAACGATAAGCAATTATTAAAAGCGTGAGACAGGGAACGCTGGGAATTGATAACTCGTTAAAGACATGACAAAGTATACGCCTTAAAAGTGACCTAGATTATTATAATTTTTTTTACATCTGGTAAATTAGAATTTTCATCTTGTTCGTGGTATAAAGTATTCACCATAGCTTCCGTGGAAGCTGACTGCCAAACAACCCGTTCTCGCCTTCGAAATCGAGTTTAACGACCACCGTATAAACGCCAATCTAACTCGTAAACGTCACTCTCTCATTCGGTTATCACCACCATCAAATTTACAATTTCCATTCGAGAACATTAGCCACGACCCTGATTTATTTTCACAGTCCCCCCCTGTGAAAGATAAACCTCCTGATCTTTCTCCAATTTCTTTGAAAGATTCCTAGTTACGCCCAAATCCAGCGGTCAGTATTATAAACAATGCTATTCATAAAAGTCATACGCAATTGAAGACCATTTCAAAATTGACCAATCGCCTCGAGGGCGGGAATTCGATGGATATCCCTATATTACGGTGAAAACACATATAAGAGAGATGAATAACAAAATATTAAGAAACAATAAAACCATTTATATCATTAGGCTCAAGTTTGAAGTACCCCAACTCCACGTGACACAGGCCTCGTTTCGCGTGCGACATGTCATAGGTGATCAGCTGGGACGCCAACTCAGTTTCCATGGCAACGCCATTTGAGGTCCGAGACCGAAGTCGGGCCCCGGGACTTGAACTAGACTTTGAATCGAAGTCACGCTCGACCGACCCCCCTTGGTCCTGTTCGACGTTCAGTCGTCGAACGAGGCCCCGCTTCCGGCGTGCGTCACCGCACGCAACGCTCCGATAATCGGCCGCGAAATATGCCCCGGTCGATAAGGCAGGGCGCGCGTTAGACGAGCGTACACGAGTAACCGGTCCCGCGATTAACGGCGCGCGTCGCGGGCCCACTCGTCGCCGTGCGCATGCGCGGACTCTTACGGGACTTCGCGATAGATGAGATATTACAAGGGGCAGGTTTTAGGTTATGGTCGGTCGATCCGCCCAATTTGTCCTTGGGTTTGAGCCCGCTTTGCGCTGTTATCTATTTATATAGCATACCTTATTAGCAATATCTCTCGGCATGTGAACCTGGAAACGCTCTGGCTAAACCGGGCACACATCGTATTGGAATTTCCAGCCTCGGCAAATCCATCGTGGTTGAATTTCATTTGTGAGGCACACGGTACGAAAGTTTACGTCGCCAGGTTTAGCGAGTACACCCATCTGGTGTAAACTGCACGTTAATTGGGGTTGAAATGACTTTTCAGGTGCAGGAGATCCTCGAAGTCTAGTGTTGTTACTGGAAAAAAAAAGAAAAAAAAAGTATGTTTCATTATCATCGTCATACGCGACACAAGGGTGCCAGATACTTTGGGTGTTTCAACCGAGAAAAGAAAAGAAAAGGAAAGCATAAGAGGTGCTCCGGCATGTGAAGCTTTAATATCGTTAATCGATACATTGTAGATTGTTTGACCATTCGAGCTAGGAGCTGAGTTTGCGTTAACAAAGGCACCTTTAAAAGCCATTGGAAGCACAGCTTTGATGAATGAACGTCGAAAGCTCTCTACGCGATAATGGGATACCGACCGTGGAATTGCCTATGAACTTAGAATAAAAAATTCCAGATTAATTTTCCCGACATGAAATCTGAATAAAAAAAGAAGAAATATCTAATTTCATTCAATTAGATTACTTCCAACGAATTTAACAATTTTCGTATTTACATCTGGAACTTTTTTGTGCATTCTCTATTCTAACCACTGAAACTCGTATACAAAAAACTTACGCTTGAACCTGATTTCAATAAAATTAATTTTATGAATTAAATATTGATATATGAAGTATCAATGAAATTAATTTTATTGAAATCAGAAAACTTGTAGATGAACTTTAAACCGACCTAGATAACATGTAAGATAATTTCCTCGGTTTAGATGAAGTATCTAGATACATTCATACAGATAGTGCCCAATTCTAAGAGAAGAGTAAAAAAGGAAAAAAAATTATGGTCCAGTGAAACGAAGCACGTTACGGTTCAAGTCACGACTCTGCATTTCGAGTCGAGAGTGCGCCTCGTTATTGAACCCTCGCGAACTTGAACCGAGTAAGAGAAACGGACCCGTGGGCGCGTCTCCGAGGTTCTCGGGGCACCGAGTAACATCCGTCATGGTGCGTGCGGAGCCGTCGACCTCCGCACGAGCTAGATAGATACTCCGCGGGTTTCCCAACGTTTCTCCTCGGTCCGGATTGGCAGAAACCAGTCTAGGACGAATTTAATACCGTGGTAACGTAACACGGCCCCGGGTACACCCGGACCATCGACACCTTCCCGGCCCGATTGCACGAGTTAGATAGTGTATTAGGTTCACCATATTCATAGTTTATAGTTAAGACTAAAAGCGTGTCAAAAAAACTGCAGGAAATTGTGAGACAACCCAATATATAGCGCCGTAGCATAGCACTATATCATTACAGCAGTTGTCATAACTGCACGTACATTTTATATATCGTCGACTAGTAATAAATCATTTATTCCTGTGTTACATCAAAACTAGCCGGGCAAAATTAATTTGCCGGAGACGATTCGATGATCCTAAAATTACTCTAGTAATTACTCTACTTACTAATAATCCTAACCGAACTGTTTCAAGCGACTCAACGGAGAGGAACAAATAAATCATTTATTCCTGTGTCACATCAAAACTAGCCGTGCAAAATTAATTTGACAAAGGAGACGATTCGACGATCCTAAAATTACTCTACGTACTAATAATCCTAACCGAACTCTTTCAAGCGACTCAACGGAGAAGAACAAATAAATCATTTATTCCTGTGTCACATCAAAACTAGCCGTGCAAAATTAATTTGACAAAGGAGACGATTCGACGATCCTAAAATTACTCTACGTACTAATAATCCTAACCGAACTCTTTCAAGCGACTCAATGGAGAGGAACAACGAAATCATAATGGCGCCCAACCGTACAGGAAACGAAGGTCTAAATTAAGTATGGACCGGCTCGGAGACCCTCCCGACTGAAATTCGGTTATTTGGGGACCGAGTGGGAGACGATCCACGGAATCTCGCGTCTCTTTAAACGAAGGGCACCCCATGAAAGAAAAGCGCTTCTTTATACGGCCCGTGACGTCATCCCTCGCGATTTTAATGACGCGTGGTCGTGGACACGGTCGGATCATATCGTGCGAAATGGGTTACGAAGTTTGTTAAAATTACAGTTTTATGTCATGTTTGACTAACAAGAGGAAGACTAATGTTATAAGATTATAAATGTCAGTGGAGAAAATTGAGTAAGTAGGGCAAAGCCAGGGCAGATGAAGGTAAGACAAGTAGAATAATGTATAAATAACGATGCACGTAGACGTGTCGTTATCAAATGATAATCCTCGTAGTCTGAGTCACACCAAGTTGCCTTATCTCTACCTCTACGGTCTACAATCTCGAATTGAATACACGATAACGAGCCAAAGGGCTATACCTGCTAAACATCACAAAAATAAATCTGGTTTTTTTAAATAAATAAATCTCAACCTTAATATGTCACCTCGTTCACTTGCATCTCAAAGAGTTCTGTACAAAGGACGACCTAAAATTGCTCTCTTCCCCTACGACTCCCCTACCGAGCCATTTACCTCGTACTCTGCGACGTAACTGGGGCGTAATCGCGTGGGTTAAATTGCGTGAACACCCGGGTACTCCGTATCACTTAATTACAGCAAGGGGTCTTCGTAAAGCCGGACTTGCATCGTGGTGCATCCATACAAGCCGAGCTGTTAGGAAAGTGCTGACAGAGCACCCGATCCGGCCGTAAAACCTCGTTTTCAGCAACCCATCTGGCGAGGTCGTAAAGGCCCATCGATTCCCTTTCCCAAATCGCGAGTATAACATAAAAAGGAGGTAATGTAAGTATTTTGAGGATAGTTCCCCGGACCGGGGGCGATCTCGCTGGAAGAAAGTATTTGAAGAACTTTTACGAGGGTAAGACCAGAAACTGCAGCTGCGACCTACGGTTTACGTGCTGAAAGTAGATAGCCAAGTTACGCTCAGCTCGTTACAGTGAAAGTAAACGCTAAAAGAATCCATGTAAATAACATTAAAAGGAATTGTCCTACGGAAATGTCAGAGAGTATTTATAGAACTTTTACGGGGTAGGATCGTCGCGGTATATGATATCGCCATATTACTGATATCGATGACTTTTCAGAAAGTGCGCGCACGATTACAGTGACAGTTTTTAATATACCAATTGGACCTCCCGCCTTGTCTTGGGGAAGGTTAACGCCCCTTTGGTGCACGACGATATAACGAGGCATCTTACGACCTCGTTGCACCTGCAGTGGTTTTATTTACAAGCATACCACCGCCCCAGTTTCACTCGAACGGAAACAATGGGTAACGCGGTCATACACGCGAGATCTCGCGGTGCATCGTCATGAGCTTTGCCGAGGTAACAATGCAATTGCAACGGGGAGGCAACACCCTCGGATTTGCGGCATATAGTTCCTCTTTAACATCGCCGCAAAATCCACAGCGAAAGAAAAGATCGTCGACAATACGGAACAACTCATAGAATCCTATAAGCAGTAAAAAAATTTAATTAGAAAAAATTACACGATTACAAATGAGTATTTGATATTTTTATTGAATACTTCAGATAATACACATTTATTTATGAAAAAAGAGTATGTTTATATATACCGGACAAAAATTTAAAAAAAAATCTTTCTACGAGGAATGAAATTTACTGAGTTTCAAGACCTCGTTAGAACCTCCGTAACCACATATTTAAGTTGCAAATTTTTCGGTGCCCCCAGTTTGGAGAAAAGATTTTTATAAATATTTTCACTTTAATATACGTATGTAGAATGGTCCTTTCATATTACCTTAAGAGGCTCTTTAATGATGCATCTGTGGTCCTGATTTTACAGACATAAAAGTAAAGTTTCGCGCCAAATGCATTCCACGACGGCAACATAAATACAATGATTTTTCTGCCACATTTTTATCTCGAGTAATAGGAGTGACCTGGATTTCACGTGCGTCTTTCTCATTTATGTCCCTATATACAACCATGGACAGCTACACATAGCTTTATGTTGTCATATATAACCGTGTACCGTCATGTGCAGCTGCNTTTATTTATCCTCTAGAACTGCCGGAAATATTATGACAAATATTGCGAATTTCTCTTTTTTAGTATATAAAAAGTATATCAAATATGGCCACTCTGAGACGGTTTATTTATCCTCTAGAACTGCCTGGAATATTATGACAAATATTGCGAATTTCTCTCAGAAGCGTCTTCATCGGGGATAGGAACATTTAACGTGCACCGAGTTGACTTTCTTTTCGTCCATTTCAACATTAGATGTTTTATTTATCCTCTAGAACTGCCGGAAATCTTTCTTGACGACGGCAGAATTTCTATTTTTTAGTATATAAAAAGTATATCAAATATGGCCACTCTGAGACGGTTTATTTATCCTCTAGAACTGCCGGAAATATTATGACAAATATTGCGAATTTCTCTTTTTTAGTATATAAAAAGTATATCAAATATGGCAATACACATTTATTTATGAAAAAAGAGTATGTTTATATATACCGGACAAAAATTTAAAAAAAAATCTTTCTACGAGGAATGAAATTTACTGAGTTTCAAGACCTCGTTAGAACCTCCGTAACCACATATTTAAGTTGCAAATTTTTCGGTGCCCCCAGTTTGGAGAAAAGATTTTTATAAATATTTTCACTTTAATATACGTATGTAGAATGGTCCTTTCATATTACCTTAAGAGGCTCTTTAATGATGCATCTGTGGTCCTGATTTTACAGACATAAAAGTAAAGTTTCGCGCCAAATGCATTCCACGACGGCAACATAAATACAATGATTTTTCTGCCACATTTTTATCTCGAGTAATAGGAGTGACCTGGATTTCACGTGCGTCTTTCTCATTTATGTCCCTATATACAACCATGGACAGCTACACATAGCTTTATGTTGTCATATATAACCGTGTACCGTCATGTGCAGCTGCTTTTCAATGGTGCACGCAATTCCCCGCCTGAGCGCAACAAAGAAAATCCTTGGAAATAGGTGCATCATCTTGGCCGATTGCGAGAGTTTTTAATAGAAGTTGAGAACAAGGTAACGGCGAAACAAAAAATGAATAAAAAAAAAGGCGTCTGCGACGAGATTGAAGAAGACGAGATGGCGCAGCTGGGAAAGCTTCCTTCTCGAGTGTTTGTACAAAATATGAAGTAAGGTAACGGCGAAAAA